GGTTGAGATATATTTGCGAAAGCCGTCGTATGCAATTACTCCCTATCACCGTCATGGCATTTGACTCTTAAGCATGAGAAAAGTATAGACTCTTTTATTAATTAATAATTACTTTGATTTGTTCGACGGATTCTTCGGGATCCTTAGACCGACACTTCGGGTAGTTATGTAATTAATAGTTAGAGGGTTATATTTTCAATATTTGTATCATTGCTACTTGTATTTATTTTGTATTGATTATGGTTGATCACAAAGTAAATTCGAAGGCCTTCGTATGATTTTAGACAAAATGATTTATTATATATTTATTTATTAAATTATTATTTTTGTCAAACAAATATTTTATTGTGATCGAGCCAGAAATAATCAAAGGTACCAAAATAAATATATTAATTAAGTAGTCGGATTGATGGCATTATTTATCCGATAACTAATTATGCATAGAGGGGTCAAAGTGCAACATTGACTTAGAGGTTATTTATTATTTAATTGGAGTTCAATTAATTTCTTTTAGTGGAGTAGAAATTAATTTATGAATTAATTTAATTGGGTCCATGGACCGGGCCAATCATTAATTCATTGTAGCCAATAAAATAATAGGCCCAATGGATTCTCACTCATAGCCTAACTTGATATTGGAATCATATTAGATTTGAGACATGTGAATTAGAGATTGAGAAGGATTAGTTGTTTCCTTTTCTTTACCTTTATGTTGCCTATAAATATACATGGTCTATGTATATTTTAGGGGGGATTGATGAGAAGGAAAAAGGAATAAATTTTCTCTCTCTAGAAAATTAGGGTTTATGTTCTCATCTAATGGAGGCTCCCACAAGCCTAGTTTTCCAAGGTCATTCATGGAGGCTTATGAGTGATTCCTAAAGGCAAAATAATTACCAAGAAGATGGAGATCCAAGGAGAAGGCATCTTGCTAAGGGATCTACAATAAGTGAGAACATTCACTTTAGAGGAATGTTTTAAAGGTTTACTCAGACCTTTGATGTAAGTATTCAATCTGTTAATTGAATGATACATCATATTTTATTTTTGCGTAAAACTTGTCTCTATGTGATGAATCAAGATCTATGAATCAAAATCCCTCGAAAAGTTTTTAAAACTTGCACGTTTCCCAACATTTACATCATCATTAAATAAAAATGGAGGAGTAAGGATCATCAGTAGCACGATCACAGCAGCAACCATATAACTTTTGAAAATGGTCTCACGAACAAGAAAACAAATCCAATAAGAAGACCAAACCAAGTGTGCAAGGGTAATGGGAATTGGAAACTTGATTCTATCATTTTATTGACAATAAAATAGACCACAGCCTTGTAGCCTAGTGGTATTGTGGTACATGAAAGTAGTTCAGGATAGGAGATGAGGATTACGCCCTATAAAGTCACCCCTTTGGAGAAGGAATTACTGTAATGTTAAAAACAATTAGGAACTGTGTACTTATTTCCAAATAGGCGCTTATGATGAAGAAAAAGAACATCTAACATGTACAATAAAGGCTTCTTCAAAGCTAAAGGATGGTATTAGGAGACATAAGGTTGGCATTAGCAGACATACCGTCCCTCCAAACAACAAATGCATAGTTCAAGCCAATTTTTCAAGTCATAAAAATCTTTGATTGGCTTCCGTAGGAACTTATCAAGGCAATGAAACCTTCACGGAAGAACAATTATCTAAACCTAATACAAAAATACAATATCTTCTGCGCACATATCCAATTATCAAGTATACAATATCAGGAAATTATGATGATTGACTTTCTTCTTCTTACACGAGATTGTGTGATCATATAACCGAATTGTGACGATGGCTACATGTGTTACTAAAATTCCATTTAATTCTAGCATTATTATTTGTTTCTTTAATGAGCAAACATTGTGGCGGGTGGGATTGAAGTTAGGGATCGGTTAAAGAACACTTAGCCCAAGAAAAACAAGATCTATTAGTTTTGCCAATAATATCATGAAATATTGTGGCCAAGAGAGTCTAATTTTTGGAACTCTCATTACAGCTATAAATCATACTATATGTCCATCTATTACTATGGCTACAGGATACATTGTTTTAAGCCATTGAAATTATTGAACAAGAAGACAGACCGGTTATTGTTAACAGCAAGGTTGAATAGCGCCATAGCTCCAATTCCTGAGCCATTTCATTCCTTTCATTCACAGCACACTCTAAAAACTACAGCAGTGCTTCAACAAACCCATTGGCCCCCATATATATCCTAGCTTCGTCATCATCCTTTAGCAAGTGTCTTATCTGTTCAACTACTATGCATTTTTTTCTCAAGTCTTCCTCTTTGCCCAAGACAATCAAAAAGTCCTCATATCTTTCAAACACACGAAGCTCAGACTCTTCCTCCTGTGAGGACACATCTTCCCCTTCATTTCCTTCAGCTTCCTCAATAATACCACTCTCCTCCAGAGGAACCACCTTTACTCCCTTCAACTTATAAGGGACAATTCTGTCTATTGATTTTGAATTTGCTGACTTACTCTCAGTCAGGGCCAGCCTCCAGTTGTTGAGATCAAGAGAATCCGGGGGACAATCGGGAATGGGAACTCCATTCTGTTCACACCAACTAGCAACCAGACCCTTAACACAGTAATTAGGAGTCAAACAAAGATGGGAAAGCTGTTGCTGAGTTTTTGGGAAGGTGTTGTGCCCATCGTTGAACCAATTTTCAATGCAAATCCATTCATAAGTTTGCCCAGAAGCAATAATGACGGCGTCGTACATGAGCTGCAATGATATTGGACACCTCAACTCTTCAGGGGGAACGGGAATCTGCCCTGACCTTCTGAAGTTTGGCTTGAAATTGAATGAACCGAGTTTCGAGAGATGTCGCTCAAAGGCATGACCATCACCCTCAAAAGAGCCCTGAACAGTGGGAGAACAAGGTGTTGAACCCTGTGAATCATTGTCATCTGAGAATTCACTTCTAAATAACTTAGAATATTTTCTCATGAGATGTAAAAGATAAGCCACAATTGATTCCTTCTGCTTATCTTCCTCAATCCTAGCTCTTTCTATGAGTTTCTTCAGAGCCCTTCTTTCTCCAAGGGCTGCTCTAGAAGAGGTAATGCCAAGTCTAGAAGCAGCCTGGTGAAAAGATTCAAGCTCGCTATTGTTATTACAGTTACTGTTGAATCTTCTCCCTTGCTGGAGCAATGCAATTAGTTCATCACCAACTTGCTTCTCCAATGGATCAAGTGAGAATTCAATCACCTCAAGCTGACTTAGAATTTCTGAAATCTGAAGTAGGTGTTAGTTACAATTATAATCAAGAAACCTTTTGGGGGGAAAAAAAAGACACACACACACAAAATTATAATCAAGAACAATAGAACACTTACTTTATAAAAAGGCAATGGCCATAAAGAACTAAAAATCAATCCAACGAAGGACAATAATGTGGTCAATTATTCTATACAAATTCAAGAAGATTATTGACAGTTGAAATATAAATAGCTATAAAGAACTAAAAGTCAATCCAATGAAGGACAATAACGTGAATTCAAGAAAACTATTGGCAGTTGAAATACAAAAGTACATTCTATCCGGAAAAGAGAAAAATCTAATCCAAAAAGAACCACAACTCACTGTGAAAAGGCATACAGGAGCACTTAAAGGATCAATATGACAACTTTGTAGACAACAACTAATTTAAACTAGCTTACAAGAAGGGACCAAATGTTGCAAACTGAGCTCTTTCTTTCCTCTTTTGTTTTTTTTTCTTCCCTTTGTTTGATATACCCATTACACTAAGATTAGCTTTGTTTGTGGCCACATGGAAGGAAAAGAAAAAGAAAAAGCTGATTCAAACACAACACCTGCCATAATATCTGCAGCAATCATCCTACGTAATCAACTCCATCCAAAGATGGAATAAGATCATTTTGCAATCTATCTCATCAATGTACAAGAAAGTTCTTGGTTGGAGTTTTCACTGATCAACACAGGTGAAACTCCCCTAAACCCATTGTCATAGAATTATATGGACAAAGATCATTATATCTTCAGTAACCAACATGTGTGATGAATTATTCCCCCAACTGACGAGGTCAATTAACGTTATATCACGTCAATATACAGGAAATTTCTTAGTTGTACTTTCATTCAACAGAAATAATGAAATCACCCTAAAACCAAATATTGAGTATTACTTATAAAGATCAACAATGCCATTTTAATTGCTTTGACCTGGAGATGACAATAAATGCTTGGTGGAACTTAGAAATACGTCGAGACCAACCAAATTGAGTTGACTAACAACATCATGGTTCATTCACAAAATCAACAAATACCAGTACCACCGAGAAAATCATCCAAGGACACAAACTTATATTTACTACTGCTACTTTTACAGCATATAAAACAAAAACTTTATCAGACTTTACAGCACTGTAAAGAATCAACCAGGAAGACAAGAAAGAGATAGCTAAAGGAACCTAGATTAATATACCTGACAACCAATAGCTTGTGGAACAATATCTTCGACCCGAAGACCACAGTTTCAGTCTCATGAGCAACACTAAAACTTAGCCCCATCAAAATCATGAACATGCTTGACTATAAGGCAGAGGAAGAGCTTGTCAGATAGGGTGAGTTTAGTTCAGTGTAGTTGAGTGAATCAACTCTGCAACTCACTGAATAAAGAGGTGACTCAACTGAGCTTGGGCTTCACAGGCTAACGGTTTCAGTCAGTATCAAACCGCTGGATGGACCTTATAAGGCAATAGATTCAAATTTCAGGGACTCGCCAAAACCTATAATTTGTTGTTAACTAGTCACACCACAAATTGGGTATGGTTGAAAATCACCACATTGTACATGATTCAAATGTAAATGGCATGGTTGAAAATCACCACATTGTACATGATTCAAATGAAAATGCAACTATAATTGTTTTTAGTGAGATTCCTACTTGTGCGTCCAACTTGTTGCCAAGGAAAATATATATATATATATCAACTTGAAAGAATTAAGAGGGATTTGAGCCTATTGATGCAGAGAAATCGGAATGTCCGGAATTGGGGCCTTTCTTGTAAAGGAAAAGAAGAGGTGATTGAGGCACCCATGTGGTGTCGGTCGAGAATTCTTCAACAGTAAAGATTTTTTTTTTTTTTTTTTTTTTTTTCATTGGTAAAAAATTCACACACCCATTTGTCCCCATATAAACTCACATTCATCATTTCCTTTGAAAGATAGAGGAAATTAATAGTGTGACATACTTTCTCGTCAGTTTAATAATTTGTATTAAGATCTGTTGTAAACATTTGAAAGTATGTGTGCGATAATTTACTTAACAAAAAAAGAAAAAAAGAAGAAAGAAAAAAGGAAAACAAAAAAAAAAAGGATTGGCATCCCATCCGTGTTGGATTTCAAGTAGCAAAAGATGCAATTTGGGTCAAAAATTGAGGAAATCAAAATGCTAATTTGTGGGTGGTGTTCAGAAATGTTAAAAGTATTGGGCTATCAATTCAAATATGCTGAAAATACAGGAGCCCAATGAGAATTCCAATACATTTTTTTTTTTTTTTTTTTTTTTTTAATTTTTAACAACACAATTCCAATACAATTTTTTTTTTTTTTTTTTTTTTTTTTTTTTTTTTTTTTTTTTTTACAACAATTCCAATACATTCCAGTGAGTGAGATTTTGATTACTACTATTATTATGACAGTATATTTATTTATTAAATCCAAACTATTCCAGTGAGTCAAACCAACGATTCGATTCATGGTCCTCGTGAGGTTTACCACTAAAAACCCTAATTTATGATAATTTTGGTTTGGCGCGACTTCGAGCTTTGAATTGGTTGATCAATGGCGATTCTTCCTATCCTCCAATTCGAAGAACAAATTTTAGAAACAGTGGAACGAAACCCAGTCGCAGTAATCATCGGCGAGACTGGGTCAGGAAAGAGCACTCAACTCTCTCAGATGCTTCACAAACGTGGTTACACCAAATCTGGACTGATCGCCGTCACTCAACCTCGACGAGTCGCTGCTGTCTCTGTCTCTAGGTATATTCACACACACATATATATACATATATATAGGTAATTTATCTTTACTTCAAAGTTCAAACCACTCATGAAAGTTTCTGAAAAATTACACGTCTAATTTTGGTGATGGAAATAAATTAGTTATAGCAAGGTTCACTTTCATTGATATTTTGACCAAAAAGTTTGACTTTGTTGAGCAAAATAGAGCAGAATGGATGAATATGACTCATGTAGCCGACCCAAGTAGTTGGAAGAAGGGTTGGTTGTTGTTTTTGTTGTTATTGTTGTATTTGACTTGCTAGGTGTTCTTATATTTAGCTACATTGAAGAATGTTTTCAAATTTTATTTATATCATTCAATTCAAGTTGCAACTCATCAAGTTTGTTCTACAAACTTCTCCAATTATGTTTGTGTATATGTGTATATATATATTTTTATTTCTTTTATGGCCTCTAACTAGTAAATTATCTGAAAGTGAGTATCATCAACTCAAGGTTTGACTGTTAATTAATACGGTTTTGGGGTGGGTAGATATTTTATGAGGCGTTTTTTTTTTTTGGTTCTTGGAGCAATTCGTGTGATTTCTTATATATAAATTGTTAATGGTACACACTGTTGCTGCACCTTGGTTGCAGAGAGATAAGTGTGAATTTTCCAAGTGTGGTCCTACTTGGCCACATTCCTTTGGGTTAGGTTTAGGTTTAGGTTTTTCAGTTTATTGAATGTCAAATTCTGGCTCAATTGATTTATTTCATGATAATACTAGCTTATTGCTTATTTCTTATATGTCATCAAATCGCTTATTTCGTATTAGTTATTAATATACTGTTGGGTGGATGCTTTTATAGTTTTTTTTGAATGTTCTAATATTTCAGCCTGGCCCTATTAGTTGGGCTAGAATAAGAAATCTGTGCGTATTGGTTGATAATTTGGATCTAAGGAGGTTTCGTATTCTGGAGGAAGCTGCCCTCAATAACATTGACGTTGACGTGGTGTTATTCGAATTATATCTACAAATGATATTTCTGGGATTGTTGATCTTATCAGATGGCTCCCACAAGCATCCATTGACCATGATTGGGACAAGCAGCCATTGAGCATGATTGGGATGAAGACAAAGCTTTTACATTTATGGTTGGCGCAGTCTATTGAAACATCGTATGCATGACAATAATGGGAGAATTTCTGACCGTCGCCATGGGGGGGCGGGATTAACGTACCTATCAATTAGGTAAGAACATATTTCTTTTATTAAGTAGCTTAATTTTTTTTCTTCAAAAAATGTTTTATATGAATGTGTATATGAATGTGTTTGTCCACTTAACATGAACTGTATTGAGGTATATAAAGAATGAGCAACAAGAATACAATATACGTTATATATGTGTTATATATATGTGTGTGTTAACAACTAATTTGCAGCACACATATCTTTAGTTTTGAATCAGGTTTCTACTTGAATTTATATAAATATTGATTTAATAATAGTAGTTATTAATGGGGTTATTTTAGTGTATTCATGACCTTTGAGCTTTGGCGACCCAGTGCTTCTTCCTTTTGATTTTAGTTTGTAGAGTAATTATCTTACAATAGTGGTTTTAGAAAAGAGTAACCGAAAAGACTGTTGCATGATTAAAAACATTCTTAATGAGTTAGGATGAAGCGGAAGTTGTTACCTTCTTCCCCCAAGAACCAGGGAAAAAATATAATAATTGCTGGTTTACTGGGGTGAGGCTGTTTGTTCATGTCTGATTCATTTCTTATGAGGTCTCTGCTGCATTTCTGTTTCTTGTTGTCAATTCCTAATCTGGATTTTGATTAATATCTCGGGTTGCTATATCCATTCATAATTCTTAAAAGCTTTAAGATTTCTGCCTCCAAACCATTCCACACTGCCATGGACTTGATTCTGGCAATTTCCCCAGATTGTTTATCCTTAACTGAGGGCACTCTTTAAGTGTGTATGCTTTTTCGTGCAGGAGCCTGGGGATAGGAGGGTGAATTTCCCATGAAGCGAGCCCCTCGTATGTACCTGGAAATTGCTGCATGGTTCCACATTTCGCCAAGGCTTATAAAGCATCGGATGAAATTGATTCGATTAAGTAGTAGGCTATAGAGCCAAAGATATTATGTTTGTTTAATGTACCTGATGCTACTTTTTTTTTTTTTTTTTTTTTTTTCCTGATGCTACCTGATGCTACTATTTTTTTTTCCTAATGCTACTATTTTTTTTCCTGATGCTACTTTAAGGTGAAAGACTTTGTCAGCTATAAGTGTGCTTTCCTTGCTCGGTCTCTATGGCATCATGTTAACCGTGTGTTTAGGAGTTAGGAATTTCTTGAGTTAGAAAGTATTCTTCAATATTTGAACTATAGCTATTTGAGCATTCATTTTGTGCATATGCATTACGTTAACACTCCTATGTGTCTCATCAATTTAATTGCCTGATCGGCTATATATGCTCCGCCCAATCAATAAAATGACAAAGTGGTGATGTATACCTAAAACAAATAGAACTTCTGAAATGTCATAATCTAAAATTGACAAAACTACAGACAAGCAAAAAAATAAATAAATAAAATGCTAGAATCAGGTTAAAGTGAGCATCCGTGCATCCATTTACCCAAGGTGAGTTTGGCTAGTTTGGTTTAAATTGTGCTGACACCAAGGTTGACAAATATTAACAAAGACTTCATCTTTGATTTAAAAAAAAAAAAAAAAAAAAATTCATCTGCTATTGTCGCACATCACTTGGCAGATTCTGCATGATTTTTATTAAATTCAGAAGTGGTGGCGGATTAAAGGTAATATAAAGCTGTGAGGCAATTTCTACTCCATGAAGAAAACCTAGTAAGAGGTGATGTATACCTAAAACAAATAAAGCTTCTGAAATATTATAATTTCAAATTAATACTACAACAAAAAATGTAATGACCCGTGTTTTTATTCAACTCGGTGCGTCAGTGATGACCCAAAGCGGATCCAAGATGCGGAAGCAAAATAAACAAAATGGCCTCTAGGGATGTATGTCATCCTTAAGGTGCCAAGATGACTCCTCATGAAGCTACAGAACTCCAATGAGCCAAGCAATGAAGTAAGAATGCCAAACCCGAAAAAAAATGAACCAAGGGCAGAATGGTCATTTCACACTGGAATGGGTGCCACCGTGCACACCATTAGAAAGACAACGAAAAATGAACTTAATTAGACTCAAGAATCGCCTGATTCGGAATCCGGACGGAAAAATTATGAATTTAAAACAAGGTGGCCTTCTCCGTTTAAGGATTACCACGACCCTATCTCACTAGAACTGGAATAACTCTCACGATAGGTGGAGTTTTGATGAGTGGTTGGTACCATTGGAAAGCTAACTTCAAGCTCTTGAATTTCGACTTAAGAGTGACCAGATTTGAATTAGAAATGAAGAAGATAAGTCCCTCTGAAGTCGGTGCAAGGAACTGTCCAAGAAAACTGGAAAGAGATGGGTTCCAGGGAGGATCGGTCGACCGACGGCAAGGGTCAGCTGGCCGAAACTCAATCATCAGCTGACCAAACCCCAATGATCAGTAGGCCGAAATGATGTTTTCTACAAAAAGCCTACTGGAATGGACCTTCGAGGCTTGTCAGCTAGCTGATGGATCCTCATCAGCTGACTGACACATCTGCTGCAGCAGAAAAAGCTGCTACAATGTGTGTGTGAGGTACTTGGGCCAATCCTAGGGTTCTACATGATCCAAACAAGTTTGAAAACATTCCCTAGCGTCATGTAAGCATCCAAAACATGTCAAAACGAAGAGGAACTTAAAATGATGCCCCAAAGCATGAAAATTCATACAATTGCCCAAAAATAGGTCAAAAGTGAAAATTTAAGAGTTTTGTGAAATGTGGACATGCATGCAAACGTAAAAAGACATTTAAGACACGTCACAATGGTCCGCGGCTTCAAAATAACCCCAATACAAAAATATGACCGCTCAACGGCCAAAAATGCAAAACCTAGAATGAAATGGTCTTTGGCCCTTGGCCACACCTCATACATGATCAAAGAAACCCTATGAAAGAAAAAGAATGGAATTTCCACACCCGATGCAAAAGTTATGAAGTAATGACTTAGCGTTTTTCAACATTTTCATAATAAACTTTAAAAGCAAAAGTGCATATGATACAAAATTGATGCCATTGGCCTATGGCCTCAATTTATACATGTCAAATATATTGAAAAGAGTGTACTTATATACACATTACATATTTGGAATCAAATATACACATTTTGACATAAAAAGCTACATAAGGCATCTCATGCTAACATTTGCATGAAATGGAAACTTAAAAGGTACAAGTCATCCACGGAATGATGAGCATCACGAACCAAGTCTTCGTACCTGAACAAAACCCCCAGTAATTTCGGGGTGAGTAAACAAGTTTATTCGTAGAGAATGAGCATGCATGACTCGATTTCTTACAGATTTTTAGATTAACTTGAAACAATTCAAAATGGGTCATGCCACCTAACGTCTATGTCAGAGTGAGACTCAGGGATCATCCTAAGCTGCTCATGCGATTGAAATGAGATACACGACGTATAAGCATACCGGTTACAAGTGTACTAAACGAAGATGAAAACATGCGAGGTAAGTACACAAAACACAGGTATACTAATGAGATTGGAAACCCACAAGGCAAGTATATAAGACATGAGTATGCTAAATGGAATCTAGATACAAGAAGCAAGTGCACAGTTTCAAGTATACCGAATGAAGTCTAAATACACGAAGTAAGCATAATGTCTATGCAAATTAAACAAGGTAGGAAATACTCCATATAACACGACAAGGTCTTTATATCTTCAAGAGATATCACTTGAAATCTAAGGGTTTAGAGATTTTGCATGTTGATATAAATCATTAAATGTGGACCATACCACCTAGAATCTAAGTGAAGTTATATGTATAGGATCATTCCTAAGTCACGATAGCATAAAGTAACACGGAATGAGATAACTAAGAAAATTAACAACATCGAAACAATTCAATTAACACGACAAGGACAAGGCGTGAAATCAAGAAAAATGCATAATATCTATGCAAGTAAACAAAAATGGAACATTCCGATTAACACGATAAGAGTTATACATGAAATCAAGAACAAGGCATAATATCTATGCAATTAACAAGATTGGAGTATTTCACATAACATGACAAGGTTTAAATCTTCAAGGAATAACAATTTGAAATTTAAAAAGTGAAATCAAGTAATGTGGATCCTCGGATATCGTCCGGATTAAAACCGTAGTCTTGGGATCACTTTAGGACTATTAACCCATGGTACCTTCCCCTAGTGCGCACTATAGTGTAGGGATTTCTTTATCTCCCGTACTAGAACCAAGTCTTAGCCATGTCAATTCTTGATTGATATCCCAAGTCCCAAAATCAACAAGTTGTGTAACCAAGAATATATCAAGATACAAGTAATATATTAAACCACATTTCATACACAACCAAGATTTTGGAACACACAAGTCATGCCCTAAGTTCTCAACTGTAATGACATATGAAATGTCAAGAAATCATAAATTGCATCTAAATAGCCTACAAAATTAGGATTTAAAACACAAGGAATCCATTGATGTAATTATACCACTAGTATAAAATTAATGATTTAATTATTTGTTTAACAACACTTGAACAATTAAATTATTCCAATGTAAGGGTACGAGTTCATTAACTACATTAATGAAGTTAAGTTGCAACAAGTCACGATACATGATAAAAAGACAAAAACCCCATGAAATACAAATCTAACTCATTAGAACTCTAAGTAGAAATTAATTAACCTAATTAATTAATTTCTCTAGAAATCAAAATTGTCCAAAAATTCTCAAAATAATATATGTGAATGTCCATTCCATGGTGATTGCAAATATCACATCAATTTTATAAAGTGAACAAGATATAATCATGTGGAATTTAATTACCATACTAATAATTAAATTACTAATTTTTAATAGTTATCCAAAAATTCTTAAAATAATATATATGAATATTCATTCCATGGTGATTGCATATATCAAATCAAAAGTGCAAAATGAGTAAGATATAAACATGTATAATTTAATTAATTTAAAATTGATTAAATCTTTAGATTTCAAATGTTATTCAAACGATCTCAAATAAATATATATCATGTATTAAGCCATGACCATGTCATATATCAAGTCAAAATTGGAAAACAAGTAAGGTACAATTAAGTAGAATTTAAATCAAATTTAAATAAATTTATATTTAGATCTTGAACAAAAGCAAGCATACAAGTTGTATAAGTATCAATAGCATGCAATACATCAAGAATATAATTTATAACACCCCCTACCTCAATTTGAGATGAAAATCTCAAATCCCCACCGAAAGAAAAGTGTTTCGAATCCGACGATACTTCGGGGTTTTGTCGGGGACAACACGGTGAACAAGAATCCCAATGAAGTCCCATGAAAATCACAACTCGACTTCAAACCCGAACTCAAAATTTGGCCAAAAACGGGTTCTAATAAGGGGGAAAGGTAGAGCACGACGAGGCCTACAATAAATGTTAAGACCGAAGACTTTCTACTAAGGAAATCAAGTGGAGGAGAAGAAAGAGTGAAGGCAGCCCCTTGGGCTCCCATGGCTGCCAGCCAAGAGGGGAAAGAAGATGATGGAAAAGTGAATTTTCACTTTAAAATATCATATTTATAGGAAAACCCTAAAAGTGCCCCGAAAGGGTCCCGCCAGGTTCGGAAAAGTGGAATTTGAGCAAACGCGCTCAAATAGCAAAACTCTGTGAACGAAAAAGAACCGGGATGAGAAAATATGAACAATGGAAGAAACGACGTCGAAAACCGAGTCCCGACCAGAGAGATATGTCCCGAACAAGTTCGGCGGTAACTAGGGCAAAAAACGACCAGAAGGAAATTATAAGAGTACACGACTCGATGAAAAGTGAAAATGAATCCCGTACGAGGATCCAAACTCAAAACGAGGCATTTTTGCAATAATTTTCGTTAATTGCACAATGGCCCCTCCAAAAAGGGTTAACTGCACTAATGACCCAGAATGAAAATATCTTCCAAAAATATTTTCTTAAAAACCCCTGAAATAAAATATCTTCAAAAGATATTTATGAAAAGCACCCCAAGAAAAGAAAAAGATTCTGAAAAACTATACATCCACGCCCCTATGGACACCGGGAGCAACCGGAGTACTTTACTGCAAAAGTAAAGATACGTATTTTGTAGAAACCACTTAGAATGAAGATACGTGAAGTCAAAAACCAACTCCGAGCATGGAAAGTGAGGTTGTGCAAAAAAGTGACAAATGGGGAAAAGACGAGATAGGGAAAAAGACGACAAGTGAATAGTGTCCGAAAAGTGAAAATGTGGAAATGACTCGGTCCTTAAAGGAAATTGTCAATCCAAACGAAAGAGTCTCGGAAACCATTTCCGAGCACTCGAAATGACACTCAGTGATGAGAAACAGAGCTCAGAAAAGAAAGTTAAACGGAAAAAATTTATCCGTAAAATTTCAGAAAAAAGAAAGGAATGAGAATGACAGAGTCATTACAGAAAAACAACTAAAAGTCATATATGATAGAATCGGGTTAAAGTTAAAGCCTCCTTGCATCTATTTACCCAAGGTGAGTTTGGCTTAGGGAAGAGATTATGTTATTCCCTCTTTTTGTTTGGTTAGATGAAATAGACTAGAATGAGATAATACCTTATTTTGTTTCTTAGGAGAGAAGAGAAGAGGGAGTGTTAATTATAAAGCAAGTTTTGTAATTTAAAAATTTATAATAGCCTTGTCTTTTTTCCTTCTTGTCTTCCGTTCATATTTAAAGGGATGAAAATTTGTGATGGAGAAGGATAACTCATCCATCCTATTTTCTATTCTCTCTTTGCTTCATCTCTACGAAGCGAAAGCAGTTTTTTTTTCCTTCTTATCTTCCCCCTCTTAATTCCTACCAAATGGAACATAAGATTGACAAATATTAACAAATCGTTCGTCTTTGATCAAAAAAATTCATATGCGATCCTGGCATATCACTAGGCAGGTTATGCTATTGCAAAGAAAAATGATCAGAAAATTAATAATGAATGCTAGCCAAGACACGGTAAACATGAAATAGCATGATTTTTTTTTATATTAAATTTACATTTGTATATTTGATTTAGTAATTTTACAATTTAAAATTAATGGTATAATATTGAATTATTGATTTAATTACACTAAAACTGACCGGAACATAGGGTCGGGGTCGGGGTCGGTCCCCTAATAAATGAGGATTGTAAGTTGGGTGTAATGAATGGCCGCAGAATTTGTATCAATTCAGGCTAAAGTCTAAACTGCCCATTTTATGCCAAATGAACTATGAAAGAAAAGAGCACAAGTAACAGTTATATGCCCAAAAACAAAAAATTTTACAGTAATGGGTCATTGGACTGATTATATATACAGTATACACATATATATAGATGTGAGAGGATAACACAGAATTAATACTTCCCGTTACTCTAAAATGTGTTACAACTAAAATGTCAAAAAGAGTATCAAAAGCTGCAATTACATGATCATTATTAATATTTTACCTATATACAAATATTAAACATAACAAATGAAGGTAATTAGAAAGACAGTTACAATGATAAAGAACTGAAGATGAGAGAAAAAAAAAATAATAATAATAAGAGCAAATCATGTGACTACACATTAAATTAATTCATTTATCAAAAAAAAAAAAAAAAATCATCAAATCCATTTCAACAATAAATAAGTAAACCTTTTGATACTTGACTAAAATATTAAACTACTAGTTTGTATTGAGAAAAAAATGAATGTAACGTTGGGGAGTACCTAATTGGTTTGAGTTTAGAACTAAAAAAAATAAAATTTCGAATAATTTTTTTTTCAATTCCAAATCAATTATATAATCTCATACATATATCAATTTAATCCAAATCAAATCTAAATTACTTTAATTTAATGGTCAAAAGCTTGAATATATACACAAACACATAAAAAAAGACATTTACTCATAGTTATTTTATAGAATTCATGTTGTGATTTTCACATACATTTTTTTTTTTTAAAGTGTGCACATCATATCATTTTGACTAATATTAAAATGATCCAGCTATAAAAATAGATGAACATGAATAAATTAGATTATAAGAGTTAGTCAAAGTTGAAATTTTGGGTTTGGTCAAATGTAAGAAACAAAAATGAGATTAAAGTGTGACTGGATGAATTTATTTGGTATGAAATTTAATCATAACCCTCCATCAACATTTGCCACGTGTAGACATTTGATTATTTTAATACTGTAAATGGTGATGAAACCCCTTACAATTCAAATGACCGGTTTATCCCTTTCCCGTTCCCTCCTGGCCGCAATATTTGCGATGGACAAGGGGCTTGCCGGTAAAAATACATGCAGAGACTTCAGTTCCCCAAATTACCCATATCGCTTCCCACTAGTACCAAACGTTTCTCACCAAGAAAAACGTAATTTCAGCAAGCATGGTGGGGGTATTCGAGTAGTTTTGTCCTTTTCTCAACAAGAACCTTTCGTCACGAGGATGAAATGCCACGTGTCCATCTCTCGACCCTCCTTTGTCTGGTATATCAACGCCCCTGAGATTTTTCCCGCTATTGAAACCAGATAGAAAAATCGCTATACGAAGAACAGTTCCTGTTATCCTCTCAGAGAGAGGGGAACTAGAGAGAGAAACCGCTGATAGAGAGAGACAGAAATGGTCTAATCACTTCTACCTTCGGTTCTTTGAGCTGACTTTTGCTAGCAATCATCGGCGACAATGGCGATCGGTGCCGTCGTTTCAAACCGGAATTTCGGCTCGTTTATCGGTTCAGGTATCAGTGCACCTTCCAAATCTTTACATTTGTATCCGGTGTATGTGTATGCTTATTCATACTTTTGCCCTTGGTCTGAACATAATTTTTGGTGCTTTTGTATAGAATTCGTATTAATAGGATGCTCATTCTTCTTTGCTCATGATTATTTCGAATTTGAGATTACTGTGCATAGATTTATTTCTTTTATAGACTGAGCTGAAATTTTTTGCTGCATGCACATTGGATTTTCTCAAGAAATTTAGGATTGCTATTGAAATTTCTGGTACTGAATTTTGTTTTTTAAATTTTTTCTTACTACTAAATTTTCGGTTTATGGTTTAATATAGTGAAATTCGTGTGGTTCATTGGAGTGGTTTTTGTGTATGATTTATTTATTTTTCTTTCAATTCATTTCTGATTTGGATGTGAAATTGTTTTTATGCTATTTTTACTTGTTACAGCGCAAAGATCTTTCATATGTTTGATATTTTGATTGAATTAGATGAATATCCAATTAATGTGGATTTACAACACTTTCCCAAATTAGAACGATATTCTTTTTGCATGCGAGTTCTTTATGATTTTAATGGATAAAATGGTTTTGATAGCACCCAGGCCTGAATTTTGGGTATTACAACTTGAAATATCTCTCTTAAATGCTATAATTTTTATGCATTTGAAATCTTATAAAAGCCAAATTACTTTTTCATATTGGACCAGAACATGGATTTAAAGTTTGTTAAAAATTATTGCAGTTGGATTCAGATTGGACCACCTACTAAAATTGTGACAAAACTTGGACTAAAAGAATTTCTGTTGTAGTTGATATTTTTTTCCCCTGGGTTGCTGTAATTGATTCAAAAATTAGTAAAATATATTGTAACACTTCATTCTTCACTCAACTGAATATTCAATCCAATTGGACTTTAGGTTGAGATTTGGCCGGACAAAATAGTTGGATTGTCTGAGTTCTACCAGATAATAAAATAGATTATAAAGCTTGTGTTTTCAAGCACTGACCTGAGACTGTGGATTGGTATATGCTTGCTAAAATTACCTTTTGAATTCATGTTTATTTCTTGTAAAAGAATTCCACAACAAACTGAAGTGCATGCTTTACCATGTGATTGATCACTTGTAAGCAAGTGATGTGGTGACAATAAACTTTTCTTTTCTGGGAAGATTTTGTAATTCATGGTTATTTGACGAGTGCAAAATTTGGATCACCAACAATAGCCGCAAAATTTGATAATCTGAGTGTAGAACTTTGTATGCAAAGTTGTGAAACCAATGAATTATTCAACATGTTGCGGAAGTTTATTGCATTCGTGTACTCAATCAGCTTTTAGTTTTGGTCATTTGTAATCCTCTTAGACTTCAGTCTATGTTAGAATTTTCATTAGGTGAGTTTCTTATGTTGGCAGGAAAAGTATATCAAATAGAACAAGCTACAACATATCATCGAGGAGAACGTCTCGGCTTTGCTACTGCACAGTATGTCCATAAAAACAAGTTCTGCAAAAATTTATGTATTGTAAGGAACAGCTGTTCTTTATCTAGATACTCGTATTGTTCGTCTCTTCATGTTATTGGTCTTCCAAATGGAAAAACTCCGAGAATGAATACTCTCCATGATGGAGGGGAGCATCCTCTGTCCAAACAACTTATTGCAAAGTTTCAGGGGATCAATACTAGGCAAGGAATCAGAAAAATATGTCAATGCTATCTTTCTTCAATTTCCTCTGACAACAGTTGGGTTCAACCAAGAAAGCTGGATAACCATAAAATAAATGACAGGCAATGGCAGCTATCAAAGCATGTTAAGGTAAATAGGACCCGCGCTGACTACAAATCTGAGGAGTTTGACATAACGGGAGCAGCAGTGGACCCATTTGTGTTGTCAGAGGGGCCAAGTGAAGTTTTGGCGGAAGGGGTGCCGCAAATAAAACCTTGGTGGGAGCAGCTCCCAAAACGCTGGATGATAGTCCTGCTTTGTTTTACTGCATTTCTATTATGTAACATGGATCGAGTGAGTTATTTTCTTGTTTTCTTACTAATAAGTCTTACGTTCATATTTGAATTCTGAAGTTTTCCATATTTAATATGCCCATTTCCCATGCCATCTAAAATTTGTACCATCTGTCACCTTCTTTATAAAATATTCTTCTTCAACTAGTTGATGTTCCTCTGTTACATTGAGCAATTTATGAACAAGATTAAATAAATATTTTTATCTGACTAATCTAAATGTTTTCATTTAGGTGAATATGAGCATTGCAATACTTCCAATGTCACGGGAGTTTAACTGGGATAGTGCGACTGTTGGTCTAATTCAGTCTTCTTTTTTCTGGGGCTATCTGCTCACTCAGGTTCGACTCAAATACTGATTTTATTCAGGAACAATATGGAAAAAAATATAGCATTTATTGTCGATCTCCAGACAAGTGCTTGTTCAAGTTCTACAAGTGACACATATGGTTCTCTGGGATATGGTTTTGTCCATTCAGTCGGAATTCACACTTGTTGTGGTCCTAAGATGACATTCATACAATTTTCTAACCCTAATTATTGAAAATCATTACAAATGTAATGTAGATCTATGATATCTCACAGATGCAAATTTTTATAATGTCAATTCCTGATTCTTTAATTTATAACCTACTCTGGCTCATTTTTTGTCCCCATAACTGAGAAAATTGATCCTGCATGTCATCAACTCTGCCACTGTCCAAATTTATAATTCATATGATTGAGAGTTTGATATATAAATAACTTATCATCTTGCCTTATGTCCTCACTATGTCAATTCTGTGTGGTTTTGTTTATCTACAAGGATTGAATTCCCATGTGTTTGGCTTATTAATGTATTTCTTATTTATAAGGTCAAAATTTGTTTCCTGCCAGCCTATTCTGTTAACAGGATTTTTTTTTTTGGAAAATAGATTGTTGGAGGAATCTGGGCAGATAAAATTGGTGGGAAACTAGTCTTGGGTTTTGGAGTGGTTTGGTGGTCGATTGCAACAATTTTGACACCTATAGCTGCGAAAATCGGGCTTCCTTTCTTACTTGTCATGCGTGCCTTTATGGGGATTGGTGAGGTTAGCATCTTCTAATGTGTTTTATGGTTCTTTTATGCTACTGAATCGGCTGGATAGTATACCGACCTTCAAATAAGCAGCTTTGTAGTGGCAAGAAATGAGATTGACATACAACATTTATTTCATGTCAAAAATATTATATGGATATAAGTAAAAGTTTTCAAGCATGAAATTCTCATAAAGTCTGAGTTCTGAAGAAAACCAAATATGTGATAATAAACAGAAATGTAAGCACACAAACCGCCCGTATAGATAGCATGTTCCGCGTATCATATGTACATATATAAAATTAGAGGTTCCAAGGACTTCATTGTTACAAGAGGATCCGTAGGGGACTTGATAACTGTCCATAAACAGCGAATGCAATCTGAACAGTAAAAAGATTATGAAGACATTAGGCACTGAAAACTGCACCAATGTTATTTTTAAGATGACCCAAAAGTCAAACTTTGAAGTGGCTTAGGTTACAGGTATTTGAAGACTCTCTTCATTTGCCAACATACCTTTAGGTTTCCATAGATCTGGACGATACACCGTGTTTTGATTTTAGGCGTTAAACTGATGGACATTGCACGAGATTAATTTGTCTTTTGTCAGTTCGCTTGAGCTAGTTAAATCAATACTGCGTCTAATCTTATAAAAAGGTTCATTCTTGATAGGTTAATCATTTAACTGCCAACTGTTAGTGATATAGGAGAAGATTATCCTTCCAGCGTAGGAATGGGGCTCTGGTTCATTTCATCCGATCACACCAGACATGTTGTGTTGTTTTGCCCAACGGACAGAACTACTAAAATCTTAAAATTCTTAAATCCACCAATCAGATTACATTTCTCCTTTCACATGTTGTAAACTACAATACATTTTTATGTATTCCTCTGCATATTCAAGCACTGCAATGTGATATTTGCACCCCACTTCTATACTCCTTGCATTCCACTTGAATTTTTTATAAAAGAAATGACACAATTACCCCCTTAAAAGTTGAGTGTAAGAGTATTATTTGAAATAAATGAGTGTAAGAATGCTTTTGAAGGAAATTGTGTCATTTTATTTTTTCTCAAAAAAGGCAAGTGAAGTGCAAAAGAACAAATGTGGAGTGTGAATATCATTTCCCGGGCACGTATTGTTTTACGTCCACTAAATGGATAAGCTAGTTTTACTAGTGATTTTTCTAATATATTGTACAACTCAAGTAATAGATGGACCTACTCAACTACTGGAGACTCCACTTGATGTAATTAGCTCATAATATCTCAATATCTTGTTTCACTCATGTTTAATTGATATACAAAAAATATTTAATCTTTGACTTGTATTATTTCCATGCCTCTTTTAGGATACATGATGATTTCATTACTTACAATCGGTATATTCTCTTATCAGGGTGTCGCTATGCCTGCTATGAATAATATACTTTCTAAGTGGATTCCTGTCTCAGAGAGAAGCAGATCGCTTGCACTAGTATACAGCGGCATGTATCTTGGTTCTGTTACTGGATTGGCTTTTTCTCCTATTTTAATCCAAAAATTTGGGTGGCCATCTGTTTTCTACTCATTTGGTTCCCTTGGGACTATCTGGTTTGCACTATGGCTGAGTAAAGTAAGTGTTTGATTCTTTTAGCAACATCTACATTGACAATTTTGGCTTTTGCATAATTGCATTTATAGGTTCTATTATAGGAAAAGAAGGATTATAGACTCACTTCACCAACTCCATTATCTTTGCCTCTTTTGGGCTATACTATCTGATAAAATTTGGACAGATGTACAAAAATATATTTTTCGGATTTCAACTCTGGTTTCTAGTACTGTTGAAAGTTATCTTGTGGAGAAAGATTATTATTTCCTTATCCAACAAGGATTCAGGAAAGGGGTTTAGCAGTAATCTGTAGACATTAGCCTGGTTCCCAAGGTAGAGAGGATTTTGGTGGGATTTTCAAAAGATTATGTTCTTATCAACTTCCTACTTTTATGAAGTTGTTACTTGTTTCTGACCATGGACATAACTTTATTGGTGGGTAAACCAAATTAAATCCTTGTATTGTATTTATGTCATTGTCATATTTTCCATATATTTTGTGCTTCTCAATACAACCTGAATATGAATGTTAATGTTAATGCTTCCGTGTGCACCAACAATATTATTAAGTAGTAACCCCTGAATTTGTTGAGATCTTGCTGGTGCATTTTTCTTGCTTTATAGACAACTATAAAGATTCTGATAATAGAAAATTGGACAAGGTAGCATGACTTCATTGTGAAATTTCTGTGCGTGACAGTGTGAGGATGGATTAATCACTACATTTTTCTGTCCGTTTTATTTGAGCAGTATTTAAAAATAACCCTCTGTATTATGCTCTATTCTATCTCTCTCTCTACACACACACAATATATATCTATATATATATATATATATATGGTATATATTACTACTATCTGATTTACACTTCAAATATCATATCATTGATATTCCCTCTGAAAGTTCTTTCGGGCTATCAATTCTCCAGGCACATAGCTCACCTAAGGAAGATCCGGAGCTTAGTGCGGAGGAAAAAAAGCTTATCTTGGGGGGCAGCGTCTCAAAGGAACCTGTATCTGTCATTCCTTGGAAGCTAATTTTATCAAAGGGACCTGTTTGGGCTCTCATTATCTCCCACTTCTGCCATAATTGGGGAACTTTTATTCTTTTGACATGGATGCCTACCTACTATAATCAGGTATGTGAGACATCCTATGATGGCAATATGCCTATTATCATAATTTGGGCCATTCTTTCTGTTCTTTCATTTTTTTATCTCCTTATTTCTACCTTGGATATTCCAGATATACCAATGATCCATCAATAAAATTTTATATTTCTTGTATTCCATCATCATCATCATCATCATCATCATCATATATGTTAAGTTCATCGGGTTGCTGACATTGATCATTCAACCTCCTTGTGGGATGTCAATTGTGAAATTTATCACCATGTTATATTTATGAATATGTATGTTTGCTTGGATTTTCTAAAATATACAAACTTTAGTAGCAGTTCCATAATCTTTTTTTACTACACGCCCTCCTTGCTGTCTAACATGCATTATGTTCTGTTAGATGGTGCAGTAATAAGCATGGCTCCTCTTCAGTTCAGTTCTCATTCAATTCAATTAAAAGCATTACACATTGTGTGTAGATTTAACAGGATTTAAGCTTATTGCAGGAGTTTTGTTTTTGTGCTCCTATGAACATTGTGTGTACGTAGTTGAGTCTTCTTCTTTGGCACTTTTTGAATATATACTTGTCCAAAAAAAAATAATGAAAAGAAAAGAAAAATGAGACTGTGGATTCAGTTGAAGTCTGCACCAACCCAGAGCCGGTGGTTGGATTTGAATGAGTTGGAGGAGAATTTGGAGCTGGAGAGAAGCCACACCGTCTGCTAATGGTCATTTGATAGTTTGCTGAAGCACCATATTTACAGCTTGAGACCTGCACCAACTCGCACTGGGTTATTGTTTATGAGAGAGTAGGAGATTTGGAATTTGGAGAGGAGCCAAACCTAATGGTCAGCTAATAAATGTTTGATACTTAGATGATGTGTCTTTCAACTTGCATAAATCCAACCTGAAGCAATAAAAATTACATAATAATTTATTCAAACCTCCTTTTCCTCAACTTCTTGTTGCATTAGTATTCACCAAACTTGTAAGCTGTTTTCTTCAAACCAATATAGAAATCATACTTAATTTCTGACTTCTACCATCTTAGTTATCAAGGGAGGAACTAGTAATGGGCTAACCTGGGCTATAGCCCAGGTCCAATTGAAAAAAAAAAAAAAAAGTACTATTGTTCCTATAAGCCCATGTACTACTCTTCCTCTTTCTATCAGTCTAGTCCAATCCATAGTATTTCTATAAATAAAAAGAGTTATAAAACTTACAAAGGTCAAGCCTGAAATATGAGCAAGCTCACGAACCATAGACATGTCCAATCACAAAATAAACCATAATAAAATATAATAGGGCCCAACCCAGTAAATCAAACACATTGTCAGTTTATGGAAGAAGACCTAAACTCTTCGTGTATAAGGCACTAAGGCATAGGTGGATGGATATCATGGATTATTATTGTTAATCCAGTGAAATATTGAATTTTATTTTTGTTAAAAAAAAAAAAAGGACTTTGTTGATGACTTGATAATTTCTTGCTAAATTGGGTAATTTACTATATAATGGATTAATAAACTAGTCAGGGGTGGAACACATAGGTCTTACTTTCTAATGTGAATTTATTGATAAGGAACATATATATCTTACATTCTTGTAGTTGTTTGTTTTAATACTTGTATGAAGCAAACTTCAATGGATTCTTGACTGTGCAAATACGTTAGAGTTTGGAAGTGTAAATGTGTTAGAAGGTTGTAGATTATTAGGTTTAATTGAATAACTGATGCATGATAATTATGTATTTAGAGCATGGATGACACACTAAGTAATCATGGGTTTAATTATTTTTAGCCCTCCCTACTTTGCAATCCTGGCTCCGCCCCTGTTAGTTATCCTTCCAATTATATTTTGCCCTTCACCCTAAGGTATCGACTTCTGAGATTGGCAGCCAGGTTTCATAATCCTTATACTATTATTATGGTGGATGCAATATTTAACTGAACTCAAAATAATGAAAATTCTACGTTGTTGAACCCAAATATAATCTTCTTTCTTCCTTATTTTATTTTATTTTTTTTATTATTATTATTTTTTTCTCCCAGTGCACACTATTACTCAAATTCACAGTTGTCTTAAGTTTTGCCGAACAGTGGCATTTCTAGTTATTGCCAATACAACTACCATTTGGATTTTATGCTAGATGGGCATACTAAAGAGTACGGCAATTTGTTGTTCAATGATTTTTCAAAATGCGATTTAATTACATGTTTTCAACATTTAAGAGTAACACATTCGTACAATATAAGGTGATAATATATATCGGCAGGTAAATTATCACCGGATGCAAACTAATTGATTGAGACACTGAATAGCTAATCTGATAAATAAACTAAGGAATTTTCTCCTTATTATGGTTGTTTTCTCAGGTGTTGAAGTTCAACCTCACCGAATCTGGACTTTTTTGTGTATTGCCATGGTTGACCATGGCTGTGTTTGCAAATATAGGAGGCTGGATTGCAGACACACTTGTGAGCAAAGGCCTCTCCATTACAGCAGTTCGTAAGGCAAGGATTAATACTTAAGTGCAGTGGAAATATTTTCTAAATGGAGCTAGTGTCTGAACCCTTTTGAAATAAAATTTGTAGTCAAGGGAATAACTATTTTGTTTAATTGTTTAAACGTCAAATGAGTATAGAAGTTAACACTCTCAGCTTTCCACTTTTTGAGTATAACTCTTATTTAAACCTTTTCATATTGCAGATAATGCAATCAATTGGGTTTTTGGGCCCTGCCTTCTTCCTTACACAGCTGAGCCATATCAAGACACCTGCTTTAGCAGTGCTATGCATGGCATGCAGTCAGGTCTGAGCTGGTTGAGCAATGCTTTAAGTATCTGAACTTAAAATGTGTTTCTATCTCTTGAATTCATTGATATGGTTGTTTATAAAGAATTAGGAACCATTTTTATAGTTAATTTGAATAATATTTTTAGGAAGAATATATGTGGAGGGCCTTCAAATATGTTAATAAATTTGCTGTTATGACACTCTAAAAAGGATTGTTTAAGTCCAAGAATTACCATGAGGAAAGAAAAGGCATCCAGCATATATATGACAAATTGACAATAGATGGCAAAAGATAATTTACTGACATGTCCACTCTTAAACATTCTGCCACCTTCTATACAAGTACATCGACAAGTCTCTGTTTTATTATTGGAAGCTAAGAAGATAGCAAATTGGCTAAGAGGATGAGGTGAGCACACAGCAAGTTTTATAATAATGTGCAGTAATGTGTAGAAGGAATGGGCACTTAAAACAACATTTTAGTTACAAGATCGTCATACTTACCAAAAAAAAAAAAGTTACAAGATCGTCATAAATTTAGTTTCGTATTTGGCCAAAATCTTTTAATGGAATATGATTATAACATAACCTTTTTTTGACAGGGTTCGGATGCATTCTCACAGTCTGGGCTCTATTCCAATCACCAAGACATTGGGCCCCGTTATGCTGTGAGTTTTCCCCATCTTCTTTTTCTCTCTCTCAATATCAAACGGTGTTGATGTATACCAAGAAGTGGTTTGCTCACCCTTGAAAATAAAAAATAAAAAATCCCTGATGCACTCGTTTTGGAAGTTATCTTAAAAAATATGAAAGATGTATTTGAGTGGTGGAAATGTCAAAACTACAAGAGAAGAATCGAAATGGCCAAACACTAACAGTTTACATCATAAATTATGGACGTTTACTTTCGATAAACTATGATATAATTTATTTATGGCTCTTTTGGATAGATATCCTGTCAACCCTTTTGGACTTTCCTAAATCATATCACAATTTGCCCCTCTTATCAAGCTCATTTCTTTCTTTTATGTCTTGCCTACAAAATTCGGGAACTTAAGATGTTTCTCAAAGAACTCTTTGCTTATGCTTTTCAATTGCAGGGAGTCTTGTTGGGACTATCTAACACAGCGGGAGTGCTTGCTGGTGTCTTTGGTACAGCTGCAACTGGATATATACTCCAAAAAGGTACATTCAAGCCAGCTACTTGATAATGTTTCAACTTAAGCTGTTTGTGTGTGTGTGTGTGTGAGCTGGGAACTTAAATTTTTTTGCTTCTCAAACTATGTTTTTTTGCAGGTTCTTGGGATGATGTGTTTAAGGTGGCTGTTGCATTGTACATCATTGGCACAGTAGTCTGGAACCTTTTTTCGACCGGAGAGAGAATTCTGGACTAGTTAAATGCAAGAAGAGGAGGGATTCAGTCAACATAGCTATAGAGATCAAACGATGAAGGGATATATGGAAGGAATATTAGGAACCAAACTGCACATGGTTGGGTAAAACTCTCAGTTGAGCAAAAACATTTCTAAGATGCCACCACTTTAATAGTTCTCTTACTAAATTGTGAGGCCCTTGGACCGCCGCTCCTGAATTTTGTGAGTTGGCCCGGCCAGAGAGAACTTTTTACAGGTTGTTGTTTTCTGTTTTCATTTTGTTTAGCCGTGCTTACTTTACATTGCTTCTGGATAATTTGTATTCCTGAACTTTTTTCCTTGGCCGTTACAGAGCAATAAAAGAGCATGCAATCTGTAAGCCTCATCATGTTCACCTGAAAATCTCGACAGCAGATCTTATATTGCTCCTGTTTCTTATTCTTTTACAATCATATTGCGTTTCGATTGTTGCTTGTTTTGTCTCATGAATCAACAATGGTACTGGTTGTGGGAGGCTTTTGTTAGGGTTTGTTAGACCATATTGTTTGGTTGGGTGCATACTGCATAAGCAGGTTTGATGAGAGAGGACTTGTAACTCAACTTATATGAATTTCAGACTGCTCGATCGCGGGCGTTGTTGGTGTGTCTGTTTCTAGAGCATCATGAAGGAAGAATGACCGCTCATGGTGTAGATCATCACATTACTTACTATGTAATTAATTGTATTTGATATTGCAATTTGCCATGAAAAGAAACAGAAGAAAGAAAAAACCGAATTTGATTAGTGTAGACTGATGCACCTTCAACCTTGATCTTATATTCGTGACAAGGTTAATTTAATGATGCAATGAAGACCTACAATTGTGTGTGTGAGAGACTGTGCAATTGGGATTACAAGGAATGGGTGATGTGATGATCCAAGTGTGTTCAAATATGAGCCGAAATTTCATGCACAAAGCAGAAACGCATTGATTGTTCTGTATAAAGTATGAAGTAGAGAGATTCGGATTATTTTTTTGACAAATTTAGGTGAGTAAGCCAACACATCATTATCTCACTACTTATCATTATTCAAAAGTAGAACTCCTAAAGACAAGACTTTTTATAGAACTCTTTAAGACAAATGGATTGTCTGTACTAATTAAGACAAGACTCTTTCTATGGATCAAACTCTAATTACTCTCTCTTTATATATATATGTATAATTCTAAATAAACAAACTGGAATTCTATTAAATCGGCATATTAGAAAGATGGCGACACAATTAAGTTGAATCAACGAACTAGAATCCATTAAATCAACAAATTAAAAATATCAGGAAAAATAAGTCGTGGTAAGATTGTTTACACGCATATATCATTGGGAATATATCCTATTAAATCCACAAAATTAGAAATAGGAAAGTTAAATTGTGGAATAAATCAAGTACTCTATTCTTCCATAACAAAAGCAATGTTTAAGTCGGGTCTTCTGCGGCTGCTAGCACCACCATCTGTGTGTAAGCCGTGTCTGGTGCTGGTGCTGGTGCTGGTGCTGGTGCTTGCACCATCCACCTCTGCCGGAGGAGGAGGAGGAGGATCGGCCACTTTAACAAGAGCGAAGCAAAGATCAGAACCAACTTGGAATGACCAAACTTGGACAACCACATATTTACAAAACTTGTTCTTATCAACAATTTGTTTCCAAGGGGTTGCCAATACATACATTGAGCTACCTTTGTTAGGCGTCTTGGGCATATCCGACATCCTCAACCCTATCATAAATTCCTCAAGTTCGGGATCAATCAGCAAACACTGTATTACGCTACACTTGCCATATTTGTCTCACGTCTTTAAGTAGGCCACCTCATCTTCTCTCTTCTTGTTCCTGATATTATTGATCGGACATCTCCAAACTATTGTGAGTGTCGCTACAATCGGTTGTAAACAAGGCCTTCTGTATGACCAGAATTATCTCGGTACCATGCAACTCTTTTGTGATGAAATTCTCCATTCGCAAAGGCATGTCCGGTGGTCGTTCCGGACCATGCCATTTTTTCTTCTTCTTTTCCTTCTTCTTCTCTTCTTTCTGATTAGTATTATACTTTTTGATGGTCTTCGACTTTTGATTTGTTGCCAATCTTGGATCAATGTCAATAATGTGATCGGGATGGACATAGGGATTATCAATCATGGGCTTCTTGAGAGTTTTTTCTTTCAATAGCCTTAGTTGACGTTGCGAAGAAGAACAAGATTGTTGAAGCATCATGGTTGTTTTTTCTCTGTCATATTTCTGACTCGCAGCTTTTGTGACTTCTAACAAGTAATCCCAATCACTCCAACTCTTCTTCGGCTTACTATTAGCCACATGTTCAAGACTCATATCACTCAAGAACTTTTTCTTCTCGCCAAAACGATACTATCAGTGCAGGTAGGGTTTTTGAGAGAGACAAATATAGGACAATGGGGGTATTTTTAGGGAGAGACAAGGCTATGGTTTAATTTAAGAAGGATGGGGTTCAAGCAAGGTTTCAGGTTTCTGTGCAGCCAAAACGATACTATAGATGCAGGTAGGGTTTTTGAGAGAGACAAATATCGGACAATGGTATGGTAAGATCATTTTGTCTACCCCTCTTTCGCAATTAATGTTTTTAGTACCTTGGGTTTTTTTGTTAAATCCTATTTTTCTCTTGCTTCCTGCCCTTCTAAACTCTTTCTTTATTTTGTATTAACTTGCAAGAACACCTTCACTATATACAAAAGGTGCAAAAAACACTCCCTATTGTGTTTTTTTTGGGCAAAAATCCTCTATTATTTTTTTGGGTGCAAATTGCCCCCTAATTAGCCATTTTGACCAATTTTTTTTATAAAAAATCCAAAATGCCCTCCTAATGCGGTGACAGCCATCACCGGCGAACACCATTTATGATTTTAATGGATAAAATGGTTTTGATAGCACCTAGACCTGAATCTTGGCTGTTACAACTTGAAATATCTCATGTTATTGGTCTTCCAAATGGAAAAACTCCGAGACAGAATATTAGAATACTCCATGATGGAGGGGAGCATCCTCTGTCCAAGCAACTTATTGCAAAGTTTCAGGGACTCAATACTAGGCAAGGAATCAGAAAAAATATGTCAATGCCATCTTTCTTCAATTTCCTCTGTCCAAGCAACCTATTGCAAATTTAATATGCCCATTTCCCTTGCCACATACTGATTTTACTCACTCAGGTTTGACTCAAATACTGACAAGTGCTTGTTCAAGTTCTACAAGTGACATTCATATGGTTTTCTGGGGATATGGTTTTGTCCCTTCACTTGGAACTCACACTCGATTGAGAGTTTGATTTATAAAAAACTTATCATCTTGTCTTATGTCCTCACTATGTCAATTCTATGTGGTTTTGTTTGTCTACAAGGATTGAATTCTCATGTGTTTGGCTTATTAATGTATTTCTTATTTTTAAGGTCAAATTTTGCTTCCTGCCAGCCTATTTTGTTAACATGCAGCTACAGAATTGGCTGGATAGTATATATACAGACCTCCAAATAAGCAGGGCAAGAAATGAGTTTAACATACAATATTTATTTCATGTCAAAGATATTATATGGATATAAGTAAAAGTTTTCAAGCATATATGAGATTCATATAAAGTCAGAGTTCTGAAGAAATTAAAACAGCAACATAAATATAAGCACACAAACCACCGGTATAGATTACATGTTCCACGTAGCATATGTACATACATACATACATACATATATATATATATATAATGAGAGGTTCCAAGGACTTCATTGTTACAAGAGGATCCGATCCATAGGGGACTCGATAACTTTCCATGGACAGTGAATGCAAGCTGAACAGTAAAAAAGATTACGAAGACATTAGGCACTGAAAACTGCATCAATGTTATTTTTAACACGACCCAAAAGTCAAAATTTTGATGTGGCTTAGGTTGTAGGTATTTGAAGACTCTCTTTCATTTGCCAACACACCTTGAGGTTTCCATAGATCTGGACGATACCGGTTCTTTGATTTTAGGCATTAAACTGATGGACATTGCACGAGATTAATTGTGTCTTTTGTGAGTTCGCTTGAGCTAGCTAGTTAAATCAATACTGCGTCTAATCTTATAAAAGGTTCATTCTTGATAGGTTAATCATTTAAGCTAGAACTGCCAACTGTTAGTGATGTAGGAGAAGATTAGCCCTTTACATATACTTCCCAGAGTAGGAATGGGGCTCTGGTTCATTTACTTCATATCTGATCATACCAGACAAGTGTTTGATTCTTTTAGCAACATTTACATATAGAACTCTTTAAGACAAATGGATTGTCCGTACTAATTAAGACAATACTCTTTCTATGGATGGAACTCTAATTACTCTCTTTATTTATATATATATATATATAAATTGAATCAACGAATTGGAATCCATTAAATCAACAAATTTACAAATAGTAAGATTGTTTACACGCATATGTCATCGGGAATATATCCTATAAATCCACAAAATTACAAAGAGGAAAGTTCTTTGGTGGAATAAATCAAGAATTCTATTCTTCCATAACAAAAGCCATGTTTAAGTCAGGTATTGATCTTTTGCTGCTGCTAGCACCACCATCTTCTGTGTGTAAGCCATGTCTCGTGCTGGTGCCTGCACTAGCCACCTCTGCCGGAGGAGGAGGAGGAAGAGGAGGATCGGCCACTTTAACGAGAGCGAAGCAAAGATCAGAACCAACTCGGAATGACCAAACTTGGACAACCATATCTTCACAAAACTTGTTCTTATCAACAATTTGTATCCAAGGGGTTGCCAATACATACATTGAGCTACCTTTGCTAGTTCTCTTGGGCATGTCCCACATCCTCAACCCTATCATAAATTGCTCAAGTTCTGGATCAATCAGCAGACATTGTATTACGGTACACTTGCCATCGTATCGCGTCTCCAAGAAGGCCGCCTCATCTTCTCTTAGAAACTCCTTCTTCATGATTTTATTGATCGGCATCGACAAACGATTGTGACTGAGGCTACAATCGGTTGCAAACAAGGCCTTCTGTATGACCAGAAGTATCTCGGTACCATGCAACTCATTAGTGATGAAATCCTTCATTCTCGATGGCATGTTCGGTGGTGGTTCCGGACCGTGCCATTTCTTCTTCTTGTTTTCCTTCTTCTTCTTCTTCTTCTCCTTCTTTTCCTTCTGATTAGTATTCTTCTTTTTGATAGTCTTGGACTTTTGATTTGTTGCCAATCTTGGATCAATATCAATAATGTGATCGGGATGGACATAGGGATTATCAATCATGGGCTTCTTGAAAGCTTTTTCTTTCAACAACCTTTGTTGACGTTGCGAAGAAGAACAAGATTGTTGAAGCATTATGACTGCTTTTTCTGTGTCATATTTCCGACTTGCAGCTTTTGTAACTTCTAACAAGTAATCCCAATCACTCCAATTCTTCTTGGGCTTACTATTAGCCACATCTTGGAGACTTATATTGCTCAAGTAATTCTCTCTCTCCATTAATATCTGTTATGTGCCGCCAGGTAGGGATCGATAATATTGCTAAGGGTGTTTATTTACGTGCCGCCAGATAGGTATAGATAATATTGCTAAGGGTAGTGTTAAGGTTCTCGCTATATTTATAGAAAAGGAGATAGAAGGGGAAAGGGTTTGCTTGCGTCTTAATCCGGTCTTTCTAAGGAATTATAGGAGTGATGAAGATTTCCATATATGATTAGAATTTGAAAGACATAATTTCCAAATATTTCTGTATACGTTGCCACCGCCACCGCCACCGCCAACGCCAACACCTCGTCTCTCTTAACACAACGTACCCAATTACGCCAATACAAATTCTCACCAGTTACAAACCCAAACCCTTGCCGCAAGACCAAATTAGTCCCATATGGATTTCAACTCTGATTTCTAGTACGCACTGTTGAAGTTATCTTGTGGAGAAAGATTATTATTTACTTGTCCAACAAGGATTCAGGAAAGGGGTTTAGTAGTAGACATTAGCCTAATTTACCTTCACAATTAATTTTGGGTTTCGCATAGTTGCATATATAGGATCTATTATAGGAAAAGAAAGATTATAGACTAACTTATGTAACAAAAATATATTTTTTGGATTTCAACTCTGATTTCTAGTACTGTTGAGGAGTTGAATTTTAAAAATTTACGTGAATATAAAAAATGTAGGCAAAAATCGTCTTTTTTTTTTTGTTATTAAAAGTTTATTAAAACATGTAGTTAAGAATATACTATTAGAGACTCAAAAAAACGAAAAAAAAAAAAAAAAAAAAAAAAAAAGCTTGATTAGTATACGTTTTATTGTGACTTATTTTAGTTAGATTAATGCACACAATATATAAATACAGAGAGAATTTCATGCTTTTATAGTTGTAGTTATAGTTGGTTTCCATCTCACATTAGTAATTGATATTATCATTTATTTTTTATTTTTTTATTTTATGTTGTATCACTTTTTATGTTTGGCTTTATTTAATACTTGACTTTGAAGAGCGAATTGAATTTATTTTTCCATTATTAAATCGTTTATGAATTTTTCTAAAAGCTTGATTGGAGTATATGTTTATGTAATGCTTCTTTATTGGTAGGAAAAGAGAAGAAAGTAAATGAATTAAAGGGTTAGAATAAGGAAAATGATAGACATCACCAATTGTTTTTCATAATTTTATTGACTTGACATAATTAACTTTTCTTCTGTGAGAGAGAGAAACTATTATTCAAACTTACTTTTGAGAATGAATTTCCTTTTTTTTTGAATCATTCTTAGATTTCCTTTTGGAAGTTGTAACAATTTTAGAATTTTGGTTAAAAACCGTCTGTGTGGTGCATGTCTATATATATATATATGTATGTATACATTTATATATTAAAGCTACGTATAATTGACCGTTGAGAGAATTAAAAGATATGTAAATAATTCTTATGTATTAGTATGAAACTATAACTCTAAAATTTAGGATTATGCCTGTATCTTTTCTACGTAGTTAGGACTTGGGATTATAGATTATTGCTTAAAAAAAATTAGTTGATACCTGCACCAACTCACACTGGGTAATTGTTTATGAGATAGTAGGAGATTTGGAATTTGGAGAGGAGCCAAACCTTTTACGTGGTCTAGGCCATTTTTGAGAAAGAATGTTGACAAAGTTATTCTGTTCCTAAAAATTATTAAATGGTCTGAGTTAATCATACAATTTTACTCCATTTTTATTTATTTATTTATTATGTAGCAGCTTGTGATTAGTCACGATCGAATCATGTGTGATTTATCGATTAATTACCGTTTGACATCAAAACAAAAAATTGAATAAAATTTACACATTTTTTCAGTAATAATTGACCCAAGACCAATGGTCCAGAACCATGTAAGTTGACGGGTTAAAAATCAGAAACAACCTCTCGGACAATATGTCACATCTACTGCAAGGGTAAAAAAAAAAAAACAATATAAAGAAGGTGCAGCCTGTAAACATATCTCAAAATATAACACAACAAATATTTTGTTAGCAAACTGACAAACATGGGCATACAATCTCTGTTAAAACTTGCTTTTAAAATTTTGTCGCCCTAGGGGTATTTTGTTGTAGTGTGGATAAGGAAATAATAATCTTCTCCACAAGATAACTTCAACAGTACTAGAAATCACAGTTGAAATTGGAAAAATATATTTTTATATAAGGAGATTCATAGTTTTATTTATTTATTTATTTTTGGATCAGTTTACTAAATTAACCCCCAAGGAAACTTCCATATAGGGAGAAAACCCAAACCACTTAAAATTATACACCTATATGGAAATCTTCATCATCCCTTTAATTCCTTATAAGAATAGACTTGAGATGCAAGCAAACCCTTGCCCCTTCTCTCTCTCTCTCTATAAATATAGAGAGAATCTGAACAGCCTTCGCACCCAAAATATTTGGCCTGCCCCTTTGCTGCTTTTCAACGACGTCAGATTTCCATCTCTAACAACTGCAACAATCGAAGCAGAGGAAAATCAGTAAGGAAGCACACCGCTATTATACCCATTCCGACTATAGATAGCTATTATATCTTTCCGCACCAATAGAATTGTTTTGGCGGCACATAAATTAATGGAGAAGAAGAAGTTCTTGAGCGATATGAGTCTTGAAGATGTGGCTGATAGTAAGCCAAAAAAGAGTTGGAGTGATTGGGATTACTTGTTAGAAGTTACAAAAGCTGCGAGTCGAAAATATGACAGGGAAAAAGCAGTCATGATGCTTCAACAATCTTGTTCTTCTTCGCAACGTCAACATAGATTATTGAAAGAAAAAGCTCTCAAGAAGCCCATTATTGATAATCCCTATGTCCATTCCGATCACATTATTGACATTGATCCAAGATTGGCAACAAATCAAAAGTCCAAGACCATCAAAAAGAAGAACAATAATCAGAAGATGGAGGAGAAGGAGAAAAAGGAAAAGAAGAAGGAGAAGAAGGAAAAGGAGGAAAAGAAGAAGAAAAAATGGCATGGTCCGGAACCACCACCGAACATGCCATTGGGAATGAAGAATTTCATCACTAATGAGTTGCATGGTACCGAGATACATCTGGTCATACAGAAGGCCTTGTTTACAACCGATTGTAGCCACACTCACAATCGTTTGTCGATGCCGATCAATAATATCAGGAATAAGGTGTTTCTGAGAGAAGATGAGGCGGCCTTCTTGAAGACGCGAGACAATTATGGCTGTACCGTAATACAGTGTTTGCTGATTGATCCAGAACTTGATGAATTTATGATAGGGTTGAGGATGTGGGACATGCACAAAGGTAGCTCAATGTATGTATTGGCAACCCCTTGGATACAAATTGTTAATAAGAACAAGTTTTGTGAAGATGTGGTTGTCCAAGTTTGGTCATTCCGAGTTGACTCTGAGCTTTGCTTTGCTCTCGTTAAAGTGGCCGATCTTCCTCCTCCTACTCCTCCTCCGACAGAGGAGAATGGCGCAAGCAGCAGCACCACCACCATACATGGCTTACACATGGAAGATGGTGCAAGCAGTAGCAGAAGTCCTGACTTAAACATGATTTAATCAAATAATTTTGTTACTCCGTACTTTCTAATTTTGTTGATTTACTAGGAATCCTCTATGTGCTCAAGAAGGCTACAGAGAGGATTCTTTGATGATTATCTATGTGCTCGCTCCTATGATGATTACAATCAGTAGCCACACACAGGAGATGTAATAGGTTTGAACAACAACATTTTTTATAGGCTTTTGCTTTGATTTAATTGTTGAAATATTTGTTAAGGATGAACAAATAAATCCGTAGATATATCTTTGTGGAAAAAGGACTTAAAAGCTTAAAAATTACAGTGGTACGTATATATCCATCCTGTAGTCGTTTAAATTTTAAATATTGTGATCTTAAGTTGACGGATTAGAAACCAGAAACAACCTCTCAGACGGTATATCGCATCTACCGCAAGGGTCAAAAAAAAACAATATAAAGAAGGTGCAGCCAGTAAACATATCTCAAAAAGTAACACAACAAATATTTTGTTGGCAACCTGACAAACATGGGCATACAATCTCTGCAAGAAACTATATATATATATATATATATATATTTTGATAAGTTCTCTACAAGAAACTATATTACCAATACAAAATAATGTGATATGCTCATCAAAACAAGAAGAAGAAAAAGGTGAGGGGCTCTTGAGTGATGATGCAAGTTCTATAAACGATGTTCCTCCGGTTTCTACCAAAATTTAAGAAATAGTTACGATTGCAGAAAATTCAGTGCATTGAAAGCCACAAATGAAACTATTAACATTTATAAGAACTACTGAATCATAAAGCCCAACTGGTCAATTTGATACATAGAGGGCAGCATGTAAAGTTAACAGCAATACAATTTTCAACATCCAGCAAGTAACTAAATCAGTTTTTCTCTCCCAGCCCTTTGCAAGTTAGTTTGTCCATATGATAGCCGGTCATCATTACTCGTAAACCATATCTACACAAAATCTGACAACCATGCATGATTCAACATGCTAATGACCCTTGTGACTCCCTTCAATTGAACTCTGAGAATCAAGTAGAAGAAATCGAGACAGAGTAGCTTCCACGCGTCATATTATCTTCTATACAAGTACTTTGACAGAGGAAACTTTAAGCTCCTTGCTACCTATCAACCATTCCAAACACCATAAGACCATACATTAAATGAAGCTTGATTTTATTTTAGTCAGAGATATATGAGAAATTAACTATCAAAGTTTTAAATTATTACCTTTAAAGCCATATCTTCACATACTGTAGATCGGTACCGAGTCGAACCCTCCAGTGGACACCTTCCTCCTTTGGTGATAAAATTAGCATTACATAGACTTGATAGTTGCAGGAGAACATCAGACATAAGGCCAAAATCCTCATCTTCAACTCCTAACCCCTCGTTTCCTTGCTCTTCGTCTAGTGAGTATTCTGCCACAGAGGTGATACACTGATATATGGCTAATAACCGCTCCAGTGGGAAAGTTCCAGGTCCTTTCATGAGCAATTCTTGTTCCACAGTTTCTTTCTGCTCCATCGATTTTTCAGAGCTCCTAAGCATCAATCAGGTGGAGAAAATGAACTTGCATTTTACAGTGGTTAATGATAAGTGAATAGTATATGATAAAAGGTAAAGCAATATTGAAAAATCCATGGTAGTTCATCGGTAAAGTGATGATAAGGCATATAAGAGGGGGGTGGGATCAAGGACTCAATTCTCATTACTAACTCAACTCAACAAAGTCTTTATACAACAATTAGAAGCATTCGATATCTAATCAATACTGAAGTAATATGTTGGCAGTTGGAGATACCTAGTCAATGGTGCACTAACATTCAGTGGCGGAACAAAAGGGGGCTGCCAGGGTCAAGACACTTCTTTTAGTATGCATTTTTCTTTGGAATGTATGGGCATACACTACATAACAAGTTAGAATTTGCATTTTCTATCAGAGTCCACCCCCACCTCAAAGGATGGTTATATGCAATGATATATTGTAACAACAGTTTGTCACGATTGAAATATGAAGCAAGATTCTCAATCACATAATGAAGTGGGTTGTGTTTGAGTTAAAGGAATAGTGAGGTAGGTCATGAAAGCCTAACCTTGGTGATACGTGTATTCAATAAGAATGTCCCAGTATTTCTTATTAAGAATTACTGACTTCCATATTTGCTAGTTAAGATATGTATGTTTATAACGTCTTCAAAGGAAATATGGGATAAATAGAAAGGAAAAATACAAATTTAGTTACTTTTCTGAGTTTTAACAATCATTGAAAAAATTGACTAGATAAGCTTTTCCATACTCTTCAAGGCTAAATCAAATAATTCTCTCATTTTGATAGATGGCATGGTTATTATCTTGGTTAAAATAAATGCACAGGTTCATTTTTTGGTTGAAGTATATGTTCTTTTGTCCACCTTTGTTTATAATGAATGGACTTCAGCCCCCATCCATGGATAGCTACGCCCATGCCAATATTATAAATATTCGAGCTATATTAGACAGGTGAAGCAATACTGAAATATTAGAGAGGCAAAGCAATATTTTGAAAGTTGAAGCAGTAGTAAGTACTACAACATAACACGGTTTTAAGTAATCATCACAGGGGACATGTCAAGTAGTTGTCCGATGTTATGTAAAGAATTTCAACAAAAATGCAGCTGTAAATGAGATTAAAAGCTCTTCAAACCATCCAATTACAGGAGTCAGCTAGAGGATTAATTGTCTTGAGAAGTAAAGCATATAATAACATTCTATTATTTATATATTTGTTGAAAGGAATCAAGCAGCAATACTTAAAATCTCTTCCGAGCTAAAATTAATAACACAGGTTAAATATCAATTTGTCAAAGACTCAAAGAACTTACTTCCTTTTTCGCTTCCGATTATCAGAACCCCCAGTTGAATCAAACAACGATGCATCAAGGGTAGCTGGGTTTCTTGAAGCAAGAAATGCCGATAAAAGAAGATACTTTGCAGAAGTCGACATATGGAAATCTAAATCATCAAAGGCTTCAAAATGCCCCAAATTCTTTGTACTGGCCTTTGGCCTTGCTTTCTCCTTGTTGGCTGCAGCAGCTTCAGGGTAAGGCTGAGATGAAACCCCAAATATCTCCTTCAGTGTGTTCACAATATGCGGCTGAAGATGACTATACAATCGTCTCTTCATTTCTTCATTGGGAATAACTCCCAAATCACATAAAGGTTCACAATATTTTTTAAACAATGATGAAAAGGCAGTAGATAGTTCATCAACTCGCCTTGTAATTCGACAAAAAGGCCTTAGTACCACACTGTTTAGCAACAAAACAAAAAATATATTCATTGCTTGAACAATATAAAAGAAAAATGAACCAAAAGAATTGCCAAAAAACAAATTATTCTTACTCAAGGAAAGAAGAATACAGCTTCGGGTTTGCTTGGTTTCTCACAAAGATTTGACGAAGATCATCTTCTGTGTAATCAGGAAAATGAACAGGGACAGGCTCTATATAACCTGTATCTGAGTGATATGTATCGAAGGAGGTGTTACTTATAAAAATCAGACCAACCTCAGGCATCTTCAGAATATCATAGAGTTTGAACAGAAAAGGCAATATATTAGAACTCTTATCCCACTCCCGAACAAGCTCCAAATTATCAAAGATCAAGTAAACCATCCTTCCACCGGCTTGTGAATGTTTCACTGCCTTCTTTGAATTCCCCAGATTATTTATTACATTGGCCAAAGCTTCTTGCAAAAGATTGACAAAATCAGATGGCTTTTCGCAACGTTTCGCACTCAAATAACCATTACCCACATTTTTCTGATGAAGATTGAGCTGATTCAAGATGGATTCGAACAATATTCGAGGATTGTAACAAGTAAGACAACTCGAATACACGAAAGGGCGGTGTAGGTGTTTTAATACCTGAAGAACTGCACTTGTTTTTCCAGTTGAAGGACCTCCATAAACAAATAGAGGAAGCATTGCAGAATTCAAGGGACCCAGAAGGCGTATGAGTTCAAGAATTTGAATACGCCTACAGGGAAAGCTAGATACCAAATCGTCGAAGCTTATGCGTTCATCTCCAAATATGAGATCCTTATTTGTCAGAGATTGGGAATTGCGAGATTCAGCCACATTCTTCAAATTGGGGGTGGATGAGGACGACCTTGTAGTTCTTCTGGTAGATTTTGGACTTTCCTCTGTATCCATTTCTTCAAAGGATGCAGAAAATGCATAAATTCTAGCAAAACCCTAATTAGGCACAGAGGTTAGGGTGAAGATGGATGCAGACCAATAATTTTGAATAAAAACCATCATATAATCTGTATTTAGCCTCTGTTAATACTTCTCCAAACTTTCTTCATTACATTTCTTGTATATTTAAAAAAAACTTTTCGTGATCTCTAGTAACCAGACAATAGCAAATTTTTTTTTTTTTTTTTTAATCATCAAATTAAAAAAAATCAATAAAAGCTTTTGATATTTCTCTAAACTAGGAAAAACCGCAAGAATGTTCAATGAATATAAAACAGGGAATCATACATAGCAAACGAAAAAACAGAGAGAAGAGGGTTTTGGTCAGTACCTGTGTTGCACAAGTTCCTCCCTTTCTCTCTCTGAATGAATATATTTTTGTCTCTCTTAAACTTGAGACGGGGACGAATCGGTTATCGGTGAACAGAATTGTTTACGATTATCCGTCTGTCTTCCTTCTCCTTCGATAGCCAGAGACGGAGACAGCTGAAGGCTGAAGCTACTAAGGTAGGACGTGGACTCTCAGAAACTGAATGGGCGTAAAACTTCTCATTTATTGGGCCTGGAAGACCAACTCTTAAAGGCCCACTCTGGCTTGAACCTTCTCAGATGGCTGCTGGTAGGGGTGCACAAAAATTCGGTCAAACCGAAAATTCAAACCGGACCAAATCGGACCGGATAAATTGGTTTGGCTCGGTTACGGTTCTAAATTTGTGAAACCGTAAAGATATGATTTGAGACAAGGGAGGAACTAGTAATGGACTAACCTGGGCTATAGCCCAGGTCCAATTTAAAAAAAAAAAAATTAGTGCTATTATTCTTATAATTCTATGTACTACTCTTCATCTTCCTATCAGCCCAGCCCAACCCAATTCATAATATTTCTATAAATAAAAAGAGTTATAAAATTTACAAAGCTCAAACCTTAAATATGAGCAAACGAACCATAGATATGCCCAATCACAAAAGTAAACCATAATAAAATATAATAGGGCCCAGCCCACTAAATCAAACACATTATTAGTTTATAGAAGAAGACCTAAACTCTCCGTGTGTAAGGCACTAAGGCATAGGTGGATGGATATTATGGATTATTATTGTTAATCCAGTGAAATACTGAATTTTATTAAATTGGATAATTTACTATATAATAGATTAATAACTAGTCAAGAGTGGAGCACACTTGTCTTACTTTCTAATATGAATTTATTGATAAGAAACATATATATCTTGCATTCTTGTAATTATTTGTTTTAATATTTGTATGAAACAAATTTCAATGGATTCTTGATTGTGAAAATACATTAGAGTTTGAAAGTGTAAATGTGTTAGAAGGTTGTAAATTATTAGGTTTAATTGAATAACTGATGCATGATAATTATGTATTTAGAGCATGGATGACACATTAAGCAATCATGGATTTAATTATTTTTAGCCCTCCCGACTTTGCAATCCTGGCTTCGCCCCTGATTTGAGATCATTTAGAACCAAACCGAACTAAATCGAACCAAACCATTATGTTAACTCACACGCGCGCGCGCGCGTAGTATATGTTAAATTATACCGTATATATAATATAATATAATCCTCCAATCCAAATTACTTAGAAGTTTGTACCAATTATTAATCCTATGTCTTAACAATTTATTAGATTTTTATTTTATTTTATAGCGACTAAATTTTGAATTGTGACTGTATGATTGTTGTTGAATGAGTAATTCTAAATGTATTAGGTTATTAACTTTTCTAAATTTATTAATTTCAGTTCTAGATATAGAAGAGTGAATTAAAAGTTCTTAACATATTAATAGTTCTGAATGTATTGGTAACTTGGTTTATTGTTGTGCATATGAATTTTCAAATATGAATAGTTCTGTAACAAGAAAGAAAGAAAAAAAGAAATCGTAAAACCAAACCGAACCGAACCAAACCGGTTTTTCACGATTTTGTTTGGTTTGGTTCCTTTTGTCAAATGGTTTGATTTGGTTTAAAATTTTATAAATACATTAGAATTGGTTTAGTTCCAAAAAATTTTAAATCGGTCCAAACTGAATCATTTGCAACCCTGGCTACTTGAAGCCATCCATGCTATAATAATTTGTGCTCTTACTTACCTTCGGAAAAAAAAAGAAAAAGGAAAACCATATTCTTAGCATTTAGATAAATAAAAAATATATATCGATCATTAATGTATTAAAAATACCCTAAAAAATAATAGCGCAAAACATTAATATTCTATTCCTTTGGTAAGGGATGGTATTGGAGAAAAAATATTCTAAGATTATATTACAAATGATAAACACGATGTATTTCTCTATCCATGTCATTCTCATAAAAAATATTTAAATAAAAAATATTTAAGATTGTATTACAAATGGTAAATACATTGTCGTAGTTCTCCACCCATATCACTCTCTCCTCTTTTTTAGGTTAGTTTCTCTCTCAATATTTTTGTTTCCAAAATAATAAAAGATTATTTCTCTATCCATGTCACTCGCTCATCTTTTTTAGGTTAGTTTCTCTCTTAATATTTTATTTCCAAAATTATAAAGATGGTAATCTATTAAAATAGTCTTCCTCTACACGTGCATCAGACAAATCTTCATGGCTAATTTTGTTTATAGGCGCCTTTAATTTTTTAAGTAATCATCCATAATCCTAAGTCCCAATTATGTAGAAAAGATACAAACATAATCCTAAATTTTAGACTTATAATTTCATAACAACACATAAGAATTATTTACATATTTTTCAATTCTCTACATGATTAATTATACATAGTTTCAAGATATATATATATATATATAGACACCACACAAATTGTGTTTAACCAAAATCTGCAAGTATTCAGTGTGAGTCTACTCATTCTAGAATTGTTACTGCCGACAACTTTCAAAAGGCAACTTCTAAAAGCAAGTCTAAGAACCATTCAAAAAAAAGAAATTCGCTCTCAAAATGAAATTTGAGTAAGGGTTTCTCTCTCTCACTCTCTCTCTCTCTCACAGAAGAAAAGTTAATTATGTCAATTATGAAAAACAAAAGGTGATGTCTAAAATTTTCCTTATTCTAACCCTTCAATTCATTCATTTTCTTCCCTTTTCCTTCCAATAAATAAGCATTACATAAACATATACTAATCAAGCTTCTAGAAAATTTCATAAACGATTTACTAATGGAAAAATAAATTCAATCCGCTCTTCAAAGTCAAGTATTAAATAAAGTCAAACATAAAAAGTGATACAACATAAAAATAAAAAATAAAAAATAAAATGATAATATCCATTCACAGTCGCAGTCAGTTAGAATTGGTTAGTTTTAAATATATTAACTACTTTGAGTTTTTTGAGTTTCTATTTTTATGGGACTCTACTAATATTATTTTTTAGACAAAAATATCCTTTTAAATTATCTAATATTTCTTCCTTTCTTCTTCTCTTATGTAAATGTATTCTGAAAAAAAATATATATATATAGATAGGATAATTCATTCACAAGAGATGGATGAAAAAAAAAAAAAATCAATTATATATTTCTTCCTTTTTTGTTTTTTCCTATATATATATGTGTGTTTCTTTTTGTTTTTATTTTTTTTATTTTTAATGTATAAATGGATTTTAAGAAAAAAAATGAAATAAAAGAAAAGGAAATAATTCATTCACCAAAAAAGAAATATATACGTATATAAAACTAATTTTGTATATATCTTTTTTAAATCTCATAATTTATCTTGTTCTTTTTTCGGATTTTTTTCTTTTTTTTTTCTTAGAATCCATTTCTTGTGAATGGATTATCCTATTTAACTTTTTTTTTTTTTTCCTTTTTCAGCATCCATTCACATCACATTAGTTATTATTATTATTATATATATACATACATATGTACACATCTCTATATGAATCGATTAAAAAAGGAGATGAGAAGAAAGGCATTTAAAAGGGTATTTTTGTCTAAAAGGTAATGTTAGTAGAGTTTATAAAAATAGAAACTCAAAATAATTAATGTATTTAAAACTAACCAATCTTTAACTGCCACTGGACAGTCGCTTGCGTGACTGTAATTAGCACTCCTCAACCAACTATAACTACAACTATAAGAGCATGAAATTGTATTTATATATGTGTGCATTAATCTAACTAAAATAAGACAATAAAACGTATACTAATCAAGCTTTTTTCTTTTTTAGTCTCTAATGGTATATTCTTAACTACATGTTTTAATTATAAACTTTTAATAATAGAAAAAGACAACTTTTGCATACATTTTTTATATTCACGTAAAATTTTAAAATTCTACTCCTCAACAGTACTAGAAATCAGAGTTGAAATCCAAAAAATATATTTTGTTTACATTTGTCCAAATTTTATTAGACAAGTATAGCCCAAAAGAAGCAAAGATAGAACCCATATATGCAACTATGCGAAAGCCAAAATTGTGAATGTAAATTACGCTAATGTCTACCTAAACCCCTCTCCTGATCAAATCACAATTGAAATCCGAAAAATATATTTTTAAACCAATAATTTTATTTTTATTTATTTATTTATTTTTGAATCAGTTTAGCAAATTAACCACTTGACACTCAGGAAATTTCAGAGAAAACCCAAACCACTTAAGATACCAAAATAGTGCCTTTAATTAAAATTCTACTCCTATATGGAAACTTTCATCAACCCTTTAATTCCTTAGAAGGATAGACTTGCGACGCAAGCAAACTCTTGCCCCTTCTATCTCCCTCTCTATAAATATAGAGAGAACCTCAACATCCTTCGCTCTCAAAATCTTTGGCCCGCCCATTGCTGCTTGTCAACGACGTCAGATTTCCATATCTAACAACTGCAACAATCGAAACAGTGAGTAAGACTACTAATATTCCGTCGGCAAACCATAGCCCAACCTTCTCTCTCTAAATAAACCTGAAACCCTTAATGGAGGAGAAGAAGTTCTTGAGCGATATGAGTCTTAAAGATGTGGCTGATAGTAAGCCAAATAAGAGTTGGAGTGATTGGGATTATTTGTTAGAAGTCACTAAAGCTGCGAGTCGGAAATATGACAGAGAAAAAGCAGCCATGATGCTTCAACGATCTTGTTCTTCTTCGCAACGTCAACAAAGATTGTTGAAAGAAAAACCTCTCAAGAAGCCCATGATTGATAATCCCTATGTCCATCCCGATCACATTATTGACACTGATCCAAGATTGGCAACAAATCAAAAATCCAAGACCATCAAAAAGAAGAATGCTAATAAGAAGGATAAGAAGGAAAAGAAGGAGGAGAAGAAGAAGGAAAAGCAAAAGAAAAAATGGCATGGTCCGGAACCACCACCGAACATGCCATTGGGAATGAAGAATTTCATCACTAATGAGTTGCATGGTACCGAGATAATTCTGGTCATACAGAAGGCCTTGTTTGCAACCGATTGTAGCCTCAGTCACAATCGTTTGTCGATGCCGATCAATAAAATTAGGAAGAAGGAGTTTCTGAGAGGAGATGAGGCAGCCTTCTTGGAGACGCGAGACAAATATGACCACTGTACCGTAATACAGTGTTTGTTGATTGATCCAGAACTTGAGCAATTTATGATAGGGTTGAGGATGTGGGACATGCCCAAGAGAACTAGCAAAGGTAGCTCAATGTATGTATTGGCAACCCCTTGGATACAAATTGTTGATAAGAACAAGTTTTGTGAAGATGTGGTTGTCCAAGTTTGGTCATTCCGAGTTGGTTTTGATCTTTGCTTCGCTCTCGTTAAAGTGGCCGATCCTCCACTTCCTCCTCCTCCTCCACCGGCAGAGGAGAATGGTGCAAGCAGTAGCAGAAGACCTGGCTTTTGATACGCAAGAATAATTGAGTTCTTGATTTCTCAGTACTTTCTAATTTTGTTGATTTACTAGGAATCCTGAATTCCTGGTGACGTGTATATGTAAAAAATCTTGCCACAAGTTATTTTACCTGATATTTCTAATTTGTTGACTTAACAGAAGTACAGTTTGTTGATTTAATATGACTTTTACATAGAGGGAGTAATTAGAGTTCCACGGAACCCAAAATTCTTGGGTGTTCCGAGTATCCAACCTTTTTTGTTTTTTGTTTTTGTTTTTAGCAGTAGTAGTTAATACACTGATTTAATCAAGTTGTTTGGGAATGTTATTTTAGAATAGTAAAGTGATTTTTTCAATGATTCTTAAAAGACAAAAAGAATACTTCCTAACTAGTTCGGATTTAATCAAGTAGTTTTGGGAATGTCATAAAAATTAGCATATCCATATTCTAAGACATCTCAAATTAGAAAGAGGATAAGAACTCTAAGGATGGAGGGAGTAACAAAAATTTTAGGCCGGAGGGACTACAATCAATCTGTACATGTAACAGTTCCATAAAAGAAGACCTCTTTGTCTTAACTCGTAAGGGTTCTATATATATATAAATATATATAATTTGAACACACTTAGATTGATCCCAATTGCATGGTCTAAGCAAAAAAACACTGCCATATTTTCCAATTGCATGGTACCTAAGAACTGCTCAGCCACCATAACTACATGTTGGAAGTAATAAAACACAGCCATATTTTCCAGCAATCAGCTGTATTTTCCAATTGCATGTAACTAAAGAACAGCTCAGCCACCATAACTATATGTTAAAGCAATAAAACACTGCCATATTTTCCAGCAATCAGCTGCATTTTCCTTGATATGCAAATGTCACAATTCTCACGACCATAGTTTTGAAAATATAAGTTACTATTTGAAAAGGTCATTCCATGCACAATTTTTAATCTTGTAAGGGAGGGTTTAACCCTCCACACACTAACAAGGAATTTCGAGACATCCACAAACAAAATAATAGCATCAGCATAGTAATAACCACATATTAACATGAAACTCCGTAGCTTAATAATAAGAAAAATAGGTTAATCACGCTTAAAAGCAAACTAGCACATCTCTCTCTCTGTCTCTCTTTTCGTCATCATCTTAATGCTCAGTGGAGGAGCTGCTCCTGACAAAAGTACCCCGTCGACTGCCACCCACAATCACATCTTTGAATCGAGATATGGGACCCAACATCTTGCCAATTTTCTGTCAGCATTGTTAAGAAGAAAATGTTGTGATCACTGAACAGCAATGGAAGAGGAAAAAACAGGGCACATATAATAGAACACCAATTAACCAAAACATCATCATCATTATCCACATATAATGCAATACTCAGTAACAAAGTACATACCAATATATAGAAAGAAATATATAATGAGGTAGAAACCAAGTGCTAATAATCCTAAGGCCATTTTCGGATGGCTGGATAGGGAATACAAAAGCTTCCCACCCCACTTGATCGTGTCTCCGCCGTGTGATCAAACTTGAGGAAAGAGCGTGTTTGTGTCTTCAACAGCTTTAGCTTTTCTTGCTTAGAAAGTTCAATCTCAACAATCAAGAGTTGAGAAAAGTCCTTTTCATTTGAATTGAGTGTCAATATCTTAAATTGTTGCCAGAGCAATATTCAAAGTGGATCAAATGACTGACTGGCTTGACGGGTGCTCATTCATGCCTCTTCTCATACGACCTCTCACAAACACACACAAACAAATTGTCAATTGAACAAATGTCTCTACTAAATGTCCTCAACTATTGGTTCTGTCTATTCTGCTCTTTACTTCCCTTTTATTCTTTCTTCTTTAATGCAATGTTTTTCTTAAATCATTTTGCTATGCGTGTTATATTTTATGGTTTTGCTTGCTCTACAGATTTGTGTTCAGAGGAGTATGGGGGCTCCATGAGAGAGGGATGGAGAGAGCACAATGTGCAGGAGTGTGCAGGAGTGTGCAGGAGTATGTAAAATTATAGTTTAATAATAAGATTAGATATTCGTGATGCAAATGTCTGCAACAAATAATCTGTTTTAGCCCAAAGATGGATGAATCAACGTGACTCACAGGAGATCGTCATTCATCCAAACTAAATAAAGGAAACCCCAAATGGATATATAGTGCAGATGGTTCAAATCAACGGAGTTCAAACTAGGAATGGTTATGGGGTTGGCTACGGGACAGAATACCCCCACCACAGAAGGGAAAAACCACTTCCCAAACCTGTCCTGCACCAACAAACAAGGGGCATGGTAAGGCAGGTGCCTTGCAGGGTGGGACAGCAAGTTCTTTTCTGGACACCTGCTTTCAAATATGTCCAAACTCAATCTGATGGCACCAAATTATTAGTGGAGCAATCCTTGTCAGATCAATGGCTTCACACAATATGCCGCTAGCAACATACTTATAAAACATATATACATATATATATATATATATATATATAGATATATATATTTCAGTCAAACACAACAGATGCAAACTTGGCAGCATCATTCTTCTTCATAGTTTCAAAATCTTTGTTTACATCAGATTGGCTGAATCAAGCTCATAAATATGGTGAAAACACCATAGATTGGAAACAGTCAATAAAGGGAAACAGAAGATTTATATACCTATCAAGATGGTATCTGTGGAGAAGTGACCTAACCTGGATTGCACTCCTGCTTTGAAACAAATAAACTGAACGCAAGAGAAGGATTCAATTGTTTTTTTTTCTAGGATTGTAAACAGTTTGAATGCTTGACATACTTTTTCTATTACTAAGTCTAAACAGGGCCTAAAGCCCTCTTGATGTAATCTAGGAAGCACAGACAGTTGAAGGTGATGTGGCAGCGTCGAACACGACACGCCAGGGACACAGCCGGGCACGTGTCCAACACGGCTAGAAATGTCCACATTTTTAAATTATTATTTTTCTGAAACAGACATGGCAAGGACACAGCCCGGATATCCCAAGGACACGGTTGGGACATGTTTCAAGACACAGTGGGGTCAATTTGTAAATATTTTAAAACCACAGGGCTTAACTCAAATTTTAAAATCTAATGGGCAAAAATGTAAAAAATAAAAATTAGGCTTAAATGCCCACAACAGTATAAAAGCATATTCATATCTTCTATTTGTTCTTTTGCCTAAAACACTGTTCTCACTTTTCATATCAAAATGGAAGCCAAATTAGTGACAGAGAGAGAGAGAAGAAGAAAAAGTAGAGACATCCCCTAAAATGTGTATGAAGTTAAGTTTTTATGTAAAATAATATATCTTAGTTTATTTGACGTGTCTGTGTTCGTTTTTTTTTTTAGATTTATCATATCGCCGTTCTACAACTAAGAAAATAGAAAGAGAAGAACAAGGAGAGAGAGAAATATAAGGAAAATGGAAAAGTTGAAGAAGGTTCTCAATAGAGGATGCAAATATGTCTTCCAAGCCTCTTTGACAATAAGAGAGAGATCGACAGGGAAAGGGGCAAGGAGAAAACATTGTTGGGGGGGGGGTGGAGGTGTGTGTTGTTGGGCACACAGAGGAGAACAGAGCTTCTTATCAATTCTTAATGCCAAACTTGAGCTATTTAGAGACTTATCACTAGACACCATGCGTAACAAATGTAACCACACCTGGTAAGCATATGCTGGGACAGAGAATAGAGGAGCACCTAAAGTTACTTGGGAAAAAATAGTTGAGATTCTAAATACTAAATGGATTTCAAGTATGAAAATTCAATTAAAAAAAAAATGAAATTTTGAAATAAATGAGCTCCTCCTTAAAGAAAATAATCTTAAAAAGCTTAGTTCTGAACCTTAAAATACTTTCTAAAATTAGAAGTTCTATCACATGCATTACGAGCCTACACTGTATCACCTCTATATCCACCATACGCTTGAAGATTATAATCAAGAACTCCCAAGAAATCATGTCAGTTACTAAGAAGATTGATGTTAGTTACAGATTATAGAATTGTTCAAAATGAATGAAGAAAAAACATCCATTATGTTCTTCAGAAAGGCATATTGTGCATGTAATTATATAGGCTGATTGTGCATGTAATTTAATGATTCACAAACATAACTTCCTCACGCTAGTAGATGTAAAGAATGTGCATGGGCATGTCTGCGTGTGTGATTTTGATAATACACCCTAAAACCACTAGTAGTAATTGTTACAGGGACTACAGCATGCCTGGAATTTCACGGAAAGATTTCTTCAATGATTTGTTATTTATTCAATTAATTTCGAAGAAGGCACATGAAAAGAAAAATAAAATAAAATAAAATCCTGCAGATTACCTCATCATTTATGTTGACCTGCCACTTAAGTTGCAAAACCTGCCACCTTTCTTGCTGCCATCGCTGCCCCAGAATTACAAGGCCCATCACAGCAGCAGCAACAAAAATAGACCAAAATGCATTTGCTTCTTTTGCATGAGTATATAAAGAAGTAGCTCGCCTCTTCCACCAAGCTTCACAAGGAAGTTCAGACTCATCATATTTATCTTCCTCTGTAAGTTTTTTTGCCAATTGCGAGATGTCCGAATCTAAGCCTTGATCAGAAGGTTCAATTAATTCAGAACTCATCGCGTTCTCATCATATGTGGTTGACCTGTTCAGGGTCGTTTCACTGTGAAAAGAACTTAATTTGGCTGCATCATAAATACTCTGCTCTTTATCAGTCAAATTTAACCCCTCCAGGGTCGACCCTTCCTCAAACTCTGTACCGCGAATAGATAACCTGTTACCCTTTTTGTCAAAAAACTGAATTCCAGGAAACTCCTCTGGCATGGTGTAATCTTTAACATTCCAGTTTTCTTCATCCTTTGCATTCAATGTTACCCCCTCCGCAACATCCACTTCAGGAGCAACATCTTCAACTTCCTTTGTATTATGGACCTCCATATTTTCAGGCTCCAAAGGCAAATTCTCATGCTGACTTGGTGGAAAGACAAAGTGACCCGACATAAACATTGCATGTGAAGTTTCCGCTTCATCTTCTCCCCCTCCCCCCGTATTAGACTTGTCATTGTCATTCAATTCAATGTGTTTTGGACCAGGAGCAGCAGCATATGCTGATGCTGTGAGCGACACAACTTCCCACTCATTTCCGCGGGAGGTAGCTTGCTCTGCCTCCTCATTATCCGCCATCTACCAGATATTTTAAGTTTCCTAGATTTTACATTCACCAAAGAAAATGAACAGTAGTTATGATAGAGTAAAAAAATAATGATAAAGAAGAATTAAATAAGTTTTACCATATTAAACTGATATATCTATTTAATAAAAAAATTCCAGTAATTCATACACAAGACTCTTGCACTTATATGCTGGGGTAAAAATTTCCAGAACTCCAGATTGTTAAGTAGGAAAATTATAATGCATAAAAATCTCCCCTCCCCCTCCCCCTCCCCCTCTGTTTGTCACTCTCCTTTGGCTTTCGTAAGGCTACTTCCACAGGGAAGCAATTCCCCAAGTTTTGCCAATATATATAGACACATGCAATTCAAATTTTCGAGTCAATTCAAAGCAACAAATGATTCAAGTAAATACCTGGACAAGTTGAGTAATATTTAAATTAATATACATACATACTTTGTGTGATTTTCAAAAGTTAGAGGGGAAATAAGAAAAAAAAAATATTTGAACCATCAAATTTTACATTTCAAATCACAACAACCACTCAGTTGAGTCGATTGGCGAAGCTGTGATTTCACATTCAAAGTCTTTCCTTTCTACTTTTTCTCAGTCACCAAACAGATACTAGCATATGTGATTAAGAGAAAGCAATAATCTTTTTAAATAAAAAAAAAAATTGGATAACTTCAAGTAATTCAACACCTATGAAAATTTTCATTCACAACCAAAATAATGGACTGATTCAGCTAGAACTAGCAAAAACAAACCCTAACGACCTCTAACGATACACACAACTATCTATATACACGCACGTCAAAGATTCTATCGATCAAAATCAAACATGAAAAAAAAAAAAAAAAAACAGAGATCATCCGAACACCAAGATAAAGTACCTCGATTGAATCCAAAAAAGACGATTGACAACTGATTAAAAAAAAAAAAAAAAAAACAAATGATCAGATCTTTCAATTGATCAACAATTAAATGATTGATTAATGAATGATTTGATTACTTACAGAAGTGAGATAGAGATAGATAGATCGATCGGAGACTATAACGAAGCTCCGGTGAGATTGACGAAATCCCCTCGGGAAATGAACACACGAGTCCGTTATATACTTCGATTCTGGGTGAAGAGATAAAAGCAACCGGGATGACCGGTAAGATGGATCGTTGGACGCGTCGGTAAAACCGGCTATGGCAGGTTGAATGCGTCGTTTAGTGGATAATATCTGCGTTTCAATCCGGTGGGCAGTCGTGATTCCGGGTTGTCGAGTATTGAGTGTAAGTTTGATCTACGTTGCGTGTATAGAGAGAGAAGTATTTACTGTTACGCCATTCGGACCCAATGGCGTAGGGTGAATTTTCTCACTCACAGTGGGGTGAAATAAAAATTACTGTTGTATGCCTAAAAGTAATTATAGGATAAGATAATAACCTTTTTTTTTTTTTTTTTTTTGTTTATATCACTTTAAATGAATCAGATTGTTTGTCATTATTTGATGTTTTTATCCTTATATAGATAGATAAGATTAAATTTTTAATTTTAATCTTATCTATTAATGGATTAAAAATCTCTCGACTTGGTTTCTATTAAATTTAAAAGTTATTATCTTGTTTAATTAAAATTGGTGTGATTCACTTTCCATAGCTTGCACTCTGCTTGAATTTTTTAATAATTAAAACCACAAAATTACCTTCTCAAAAATGATATGTATACTAATTGTACGTCTTCTTATTTTTGTGTATGTAAATGTGTATATCATACACCATTTCAATTTTTAAGGTTATACATTTTTAAGGTTATTGTTGTATTTCTTTTCTTTCTTTCTTTTTTGGTTAGTTGGCTAGACTAGACAACAAAAAATGTGGGCGAGAAATTATTAGATGGTTTTAGACCATTTGATATTTGGTGGATCAATTCAATCCATATTGTTGTTGAAATTTCTTTGTAATATATTAATACACTTTTGTGGACCCTCGAATTGAATTGTTCTACCAAGTATTAATAGTTGAAGATAATTTAATAATTTCTTGATACGTGTTAATTATTTTGAACTCTCGAAATGATTTACAAAGTTCAAATATATGTAATCACCTGCAAATCATACCAATCACTTTAATTCTCTTATTTTCCTACGAATAGCAGCAATTCAAAACGTCAAGAATTTGCATTTCGTCTTAAAAGACCCCTGTCAATGGCCGCTCCTGCAGATATTAGAATTCCATCTTGATTCTTTGACACAATATTTAAACTTTCATCACCATTCAAAAAAAATAAACATTTAAACTTTTTATCACTCTTGTGGAATCTCGAATTGAATTGATTCACTAAGTGTCAATAATTCAGAATAATCTAATAATTTCTTAATACGTGTTAATCATTTTAAACTCTCCTAATATATTTGCAATCACCTACAAATCATACTAATCACTTTAACCCTCGTATTTTCCTATTTAATGAGAATTGCATTCAAAATGTCAAGAATTTACATTTCGTCCTAAAAGACCCCCTATCACCGGCCACTACTGCAGATATTAGAATTCCATCTTGATTCTTTGACACAATATTTAAACTTTTATCACCAAGATTAGATGAATTAAACCTTCAAATAACAGACACAGCATGAGGGTTGTAAAAAATATTTACACAGTTTAAAGGTTGAAAATTTGGATTCTAATGTCAACTATAATTAAAGTGTTCAATTATGTTTTTGTACTTTTAATCTAGTCCCTAGGCCTATGTCCCCATGTAGATGATGTACTATAAATTTCAGTTGGACAAAACAAAAGAAAGCAGCTACGTGAGTCTTTTCATGTTCATAAAAGTAAAAGCAACATTAATAATTGCTAGAGGTATCTCCAGGAAGGAGTAAGGAGGCCCATGTCAATAATACCTTCCGTAGTTCTTGTGCTTTGCTTATTTTATTTATTTATTATTATTTTAAGGTGTGAGAATATTTGCAACTATTTACCTACGGATTTGTGCCTATCAAGTAAACTCTCGATTATTTATTTCAATCCCACAATATAAATAATATTTTAAGTCAAGAATGAGATTGGACAGATGCAAACTTGGAACATGGTGCTCTACCAACTCCACCAAGTCAGGCTTGTGCTTTGCTTATTTTGTTTACCAGTGAGATGCTTCTTTGCTTGGCCTCGTTCTTGTAACCGTTGAATGTCCATTTTTCTTAGGAAAGTGACGGAAAATTTATGGATGAGTTGAGGAAAACATAAGGGAAAGACACATAAAAATAATAATAGCATAAAAATGAGGTGTTGGTTTAATAAAATAGGAAAAATTAGGTAAAGTTTCACTAGACATTCGATCATCGACATATTCATGAGAATAAGAGAAGTCAGATTATTCCAAGTTTAGCAAAATATATATTGGGTTTAACTTAAACTAATGTTCACTGAAGCATTGCAATTTTTAAATTTTCGAATAAGTTGCGTACAAATAGAAAGTTCATACTGTAAATCCGACACAAAACTTTTGGAAAATTTAATAAACATTTAATTCCGTGAACCATCTCATATTATTACATAATTCGAAATAAGAATTCTAGTTTGAAATATACCAAAGAATTTCATATACTGTTTGATTTTCTAAGATACAAAAATTGTCCATCTAATTTGGATTTTAGATTTTCTACCCATAGGTTGTGAAACTCAAAAAGAAAACAACAAAAACATCAACAAAGGGTCCATTTTGAGAATTCAAATAGGAAAAAATGAGTTAGTTATAATAGTCCAAATATTTAAGTTGGGTTAGGAATTAAAAAATTATATATATTACGTAGTAAAAAGAAAAGAAAAATGAAGAGTGTAAAAGTAAATACATAAGTAAAATAAATATATACTCGTATTAGCCGGCGTTACACGTGTCGTGTTCTAAGTTGGTCACAGATCGAATGGGGTGGGGATATTCAACGATTATCTGCAGAGAGAACTAGAGAGAGAGAGAGAGAGAGAGAGAGATGGGGGATCTCTACGCTTTGGACTTCGATGGAGTGATTTGTGATAGCTGTGGAGAGAGCTCCCTATCTGCTGTGAAGGTCGTCATATATATATATATATATATATATTCTTCTTCTACACTTGTGTGTCTGTATAAATATATATGTATTCATATCGTAAGAAGTAATTTTTTTTTTCTGATTACTTTCTTCCAAATGCCTACTGTAGGCTGCGAAGGTGAGATGGCCTGGTCTATTCGACAGTGTGGATTCGGCCATGGAGGATTGGATTGTTGATCAGATGTACATAGTAAGCTCTTGCCAACATTACACATTTATTTCAAGCAACTACAAATTAATTTAGCTAAAATGTTGAGCCAATTCTTGCATAATAAAGCATTATGTTTGTTTTCCTGGAAAGTACTGTAAATTTAGAATGGGAAAATAAAAATTTTGAAAATAGACCATGAAATTTGATGTCTTAACATTTAAAAAGGGAACAGAAAGCTAATCATCCGCACAGATACGGGTTGTAGTAGCAATTAGTGAGTATTTTTATTTAACTTGTATGCATTATTTTATCTGATGCTGCTTATAAAATTTGCTTAGTCTGTTTGTTATTGCAATCACTGGAGATTGTTAATATCTCAGTTTGTATCTATTACATCATGCTATAACTAGAATTGTCTACAGCATAAATGATACTAAGCTCTTAAACCAATTTAAAGGAATTCAAATCAGAATCTATAAATTTATGAGAGAATAGCTCTTCGCCAATTCATCTCGAGTATGTCATAGATGCTATGGCAATGACGGGTTTTGAAACTAATACGAGAGGTAATTTTCTATTTTTAGTTTAGGTTGAAAGTGAAGATCTGTATCATGAAAGATTCATTCATGATGGGCCAATGTGAGGAACAATGCACAGCTCATATATTCATGAATGAGTGTAGATGCACAAATTTTGAGGAACGAAGTTAAGCTCGAAGTTTACGAGTATGATGAATAGGATATTAAGTCTATCACTATTGGCTTTGAGGTATACCTTGACAAAAACCTGCTCAATGAGAAATTAAGTGCATAGCAACTTCATGTCTGAACTATAAGAATTTTCAATTTTACTCTTTTATCTTTTTGACTGATTATGATTTAATCTTGAGATAGTGTTGCCTTTTCAGTATCAAGCAACAGTGATTCACTGCTACTAGGTTTCTATAACTTTCTTAATGTGCTCATACTGGTACTCTTTAGCTTAATAACTTTCCTGTTTTATTGTCCTTAACCATTTTCTTAATGCTAAAATCTTTTACTTAATCGGAGCATTTCTTTAGTAAAATTTACCCTGCAAGGCATCTATCTGCTGTTATGTACATACCTTATTAAAATATTAGTCCAACTTGGCTATAAACTATAAAGTGTTATAGACCGTGCCATCTAGAACTACCCCCTTCCCCTCTCCCTCCCTTTTCTCATTTTCCATGATATGATCATTTCAGGTGATATTGAACACAAAGGTTCAAGTTATTGCCATGACGAAGTCGAATTACTATCGAAATGGATTTACATTAGCTTACCAATAAAATTTCCATGTTGGTTTCTCTATCTTGTGTATACAGAAACCAACAAGATAGAGAGAACAATTTGGAACCGAATCATTATATGCCACATCATGTAATAGAGTTTATATTAACATGAAATTATTTGTTTTGAGAAGATTTCATATATAAAAGCACTGGACAAACTAAGATTCGTTATGCTGAAACATGAAAATTTTCCAATGAGTAGGCTATAGTGAAAGTACTCAACTTCTGAAACTGTGGCAGGTGCGACCTGTGGTAGAGACTGGATATGAAAATTTATTACTTGTGAGGTTGCTGCTGGAGTTGAGAATTCCTCCTATCCGCAAGTCCTCGGTGGGTATATGTTCAGATGAATTTTAATTTGTGCTAATCAGTAGGATGTAAAAGGCTGGAATTATGTCCATAGCTCCCTTTCTGTGCTATGATCTTGTTCTTAGTCCCACAAGAAAGGAAAAATTACATTTATTATTCCCTTTTGAAGAAAACAGTCTGGACCTGATGATCATGGTTTAATGTGCAAGGTTGCAGAGGGACTCACTGTTGAGGGAATTCTGGAGAGCTGGTCCAAGATAAAACCTTTAATTATGGAAGCATGGGATGAGAATAGGGATGCTTTAGTAGATCTTTTCGGAAAGGTCAGAGACGAATGGATAGAGAAAGACTTGGCTACTTGGATTGGTGCAAATAGGTAACTTATCTGGACCATGCCTATTGAGATGGTCTCAAATGCATGATACTCCAACTAAATACACAAGCTAATCTTTTCAAGCATATAACCTCCTCTAGCCAGATGGTTTGTTTACAAGAATGGAACAAATCCCTCCCTTTCTTCTTGATCATTCCATGTTAATTGAGTGCCTGGTTCCTATGACTGATGAGATTTTTCTTGCAGCAATCACGTTGTGCCTTCTTGGAGATCACCAATATTATTTGGTGACTCAAAGCAGTTCATGCCACGCATACCCTCTTTTAGAGTCACCCTCATTTCCTATTTCTTTCCCAAAATGGTCAATCTACTAATTTCCGCTGCCATGCTCGTGTCAATTCCCATCACGACATCAACAAATATACCAAGCTTTACTTCCAATTACATTACCTCCACCAGTAATTACTAATTACATAACTGGTTGAAAACAAAATCAACATATAAATTTTGGAGCTAATAGATAAAAATATAGTTCCTGGAAGTTATAGGTCATGGGTTATTTAGGCCCGTTGAGTTTAGACTTGTAATTCGGCATTTAACAGTAAGAGTTGTTGGGCCGACTGACATCGCCGTAACAATAATTTATTTAATTCTGTGATTTAAAACTTGTCTTGTATTTACTTTATATCATAGATAATCTGTAATATCGTATACATTTATCGCATACAAAATAAATATAACATGTGCAGTCTATTGGACAGGTGGAAGACATTTATCCATCAAAGCAATCTCATTAAACTATTAATAAAACAAATTAGAGTTGTTAGACATTGATTATTTCGCATAATTATAATTTATAGCCTCATAGAATTCATAGTTATTATATGTTGCTTCAGTATTACTTCATGTTTGTTTATAATGAAAGAATGTTGTTGAAATGTCAGTGTCCTACTGCCTGCTTGTGTGCTTGATTTCCCGTTGCTGTTTGGCGGTTTACATTTAGAACAGTCTGTTTAAAAAATTAAAAGATTCAGTTTGCTGAAAAGCAAATCCGGTTTTTGTGAGCAATGACTGTTTTAATTCTTTTAAATTGAATCTTTTGCATCAATTTCAAGTCTGTTATATTTGCTTCCAATAATGTGCAATTTTATTATGTATGGCTTCCTGAGTTATTCATGTGTATGTTTACTTCAATGTAGCTGTGCGGATATTCCTTACATTGCTTGTAGTGAACATAAATACACATTATCACCATATGCTTTCTATATGTAAGTAAGGTAGCTCAAAACAAGTCGAACAGTAAGATATTTTAGGTTGGCTGATGCTATCTATTAATGTGTTAGTGTCAAGCATCAACTGGTATCAAATGAATTGATCCACATGATGAAAACTATTTTTTGATATATATGTGTGTGTGTGTGTGTGTGTATTTTGGGGTGATGTTGACATGCTCAACCTCATTCGAGCTTGCTGGTTCCGTAACAAAATATAAGCATACCTTAAAAAGTTAAAAGTGTAATCCACATCAGTTATCATGAACACAAGTTTTAACTCTAGTTTCTCTAAAATGTTTATGAGGCTTCCATGTATGCTGTAGAAAAAAAATGGGAATCCAATTCTTAATCAGGAATGTTTCTGCTGCAGATTTTATCCAGGTGTTCCCGATGCTCTAAAATTTGCTAGCTCAAGGGTATATATTGTCACCACAAAACAGGTATGTTTATGTTTAAAGAAAACAATGATAATTGGAAACACCATCTATGCAGTGGAACATTTTCTCTTCTTGTAAAAAGAAAAATGTATATGTAATATAAGAAAGAGGATATCTTAATCATTCTAAAATGATCCTTGTTAGAAAAAACCAAACTTGTTTCTTTATAGTTTTTACAACGTATCTTTTCAATGTGTCTATACATAACGGATGTGCCTTTTGCAATGTTCCCTGAATGCCATACATTTGTTTCTTCCTCTCCTCCCATTTGCCCATTTCAGAGCCGCTTTGCAGATGCGTTACTGCGAGAGCTTGCAGGAGTAACTATACCGCCTGAAAGAATCTATGGTCTAGGAACTGGGTGAGTAAATTTTTTTCCCTAGATGAAACTCGCACCTGGGTGAGTAATTTTAACTACATGGTGATAGGAAAAGCAAAAATAATTGTGTCTAGCTACTTAAGACCTCTGCCTGTACTTTGTTCACCATAACATGAATTGTCTTGATGTTTGAAATTCCCATTAGTCCCAAGGTAGAAGTGCTGAAGCAGCTTCAAAAGAAACCAGAAAACCAGGGCCTCACACTACAGTAAGATTCTTCGCTGGTCTTATATATATATATGATGAACGCAACAACAGCAGCAAACAAAGCCTTTTTCCAACTATTTGCGGTTGTATATGCATGTATTAAATAAGTTTGTCTTCATGTACATCAGCACTTACATGCTGATCATCAGTCTTCTTTTGGAAATTTAAAAATAAAAGCAAAAAATTAACTCCTTAATTTTACCAGCTTTGTGGAAGATCGACTTGCAACTCTGAAAAACGTCATCAAAGAACCTGAATTGGATGGGTGGAACCTGTATCTTGGTGATTTGTTAAATTCTTTGTTAATCTGCTAAATCTGTATCACTATACTCTATTTCCTTTTAGACCTCTTCATTTTTGCTAAGCTGCGTTTAACTGGAACAGGAGACTGGGGATATAACACCCAGAAAGAGAGAGCGGAGGCAGCTAGCATTTCCAGAATTCACCTTCTTGAACTCTCCGACTTTAGTCAGAAGCTAAAATAAACAAATTCTTCATAGTTACAGTTACACCCTTACACAAATGACAAATCTTTCATGACAAGGGTTGATTTGATCAGTGAGGATAATGTTCCATGTTATTTGGAAAGTTACAGAACTTTCAAAATAATTATGAATTAATTTGCTAAGTTTTTATATTACAAGTTATTATCCATTTGAACAATCTCAATATCAATATGTATAAACCTCTAAAAAGTTGCAGACTGAAGATTTATAGATCCGTTCACTCTCAAAGGAATCTGGTACAGACTGATGACGTTTTATAGATTTGTTCAATTTCAAAGTACAAACTGATGATGATCAAACAATGAGATATGCCAGGAAATTTGATATTTTAACGCCTTCCAATATCTCAACTTTTGTGTTTGATAAAAATATATATATATATATAATAATAAATTATAATAATATTTTTTGAATAACAAAATAGAAAATGATAATTTATAGGACAAAGTAATTACCCATAAAACTAATTTTAAGAATAACATAATAGAAAATTATAATTAAATAAGAAATTACACAGGCGTAGGTAAAACGTTTTAGTTACTTTGCTCAATGGCCCCCTTTCATTGGAATGAAAGGGTAAGAAATAAGACATGCCAAAATCGCGTGAAGGATTCAGTGGATGGTTGGTGAAAAACATTGAAAGTGTTGCAACAGAAGAGAATAAAGACATCGTGCATGATTTGTTGATTCACTTGTGCATAAGTGCAAGATGTGTTTTGCTCAAACAGTAAATACACTGGGCAACACAAAAATTAAATTTGCATTTTCATTAACAATTCTACAAACAGGATGGAATCATAGCTTCAAAAAAGATTTCCAGATATATAAAAAATCAAAAGGATTATTGGTTAACAAGAAATGGGGAAAGATTTAAAAAAAGAAAGACTAATAATAAAAGTTAAAATAGATGTTAGGATAAATGAACTGCACATCGATAAAGGAGCAAGCTTTTGGTTAGCATATTAAAAAGCATTTCCAGTGAACTATAATTCATCTTTCTGATGTCTTCCATTCTCCTCCGGGCTAGCATTATCTGCTTCGTTTTTATCACGGTAGAGCTTTTCAAGAATCTCATCTAAAGGAGGATCTCCTGGTCTTCGAAAAGCTTGATCTCCTATCTTGATTTCGTATGCCTCTGGTTGGTTCAATATAAAGTCTTTCAACTGAGAAAAGAGAAGTATGTAAAATTAAATAACAGTCAGAGCATTTGAATTTTGGACACATGATCTACAATTCATGCACTCAAAGCAATCTAAACTAAAATAAAGTCATTATCTAAATCAAGACATGTTGTACATATATGTGAAGATTCAAATGTTTAATGCTTTTTCACTGAAATTCAATATAATTAATGAACATGTGTTCTTGTGTTCTTTAAAAATAATTTATGGTTCAAAAGAATAAAGGCACAGTAATTGATTGCAATACCTCATGCAATAGAAATGCTCAATTGCTTAAAAAATCTTTATATTTCAAGAATTAAAACGTACCTCTGAAGAATCTTGGCCTTTTTCCATTGTGAACATGATTGTGCTCAGATCAACACGCATGAACTTTACCTCAATACCTCCTGTTTTTGAAAGTTTTGTCCATTTCTTAGCAATTTCAGATACCATATCCTGAAAATTTTGGTGGCAAAAATCCATTACACTTCAATAACATGTTCTTTCTTCAGAGAGAGAGAGTACAACTTTGATTCTTCACCACAAAAATTCTACAAACATGGCACGTCATAGACTAGCAAGAGTAAAGTTTACTTGGAGAATTAAAGAAAATGAAATGACTTATATGCAATATGTATATGAGTGTTTGTATATGAAAAATGAGTTTTGAATCTGTGGAACTAGTTAAAAAATGCAACATTCCTTCTCTTTTCCTCAAATGGGGGAGAAGGATCACTTCAAAGTGCCCTAATTACAGCCAATTATACTTTATATACAAGTATGTGTGTGTATATTTGCACAGGCATGTATGTTCATCTATAGCCAAAAAATTTCTGATCAGAGTACTTACATACATATAGAAAATTCAAAGATTTGAACTTCAATTTAACCAAGTAACTCTATTTAATCCAAACTATTGCAATTGTATTTGACTAGCCAGCATAATCCAGCACCATAATAATCAGGAAAAATAAAAAATAAAATAAAATTGTGAACACAGATGCAAATCCAAAACTTCAATTATACTATTAAACAAAGACAAATCAGTCATGAAGCTCATGATCTGTTTAGTGTTTACCGATTAAGTTTCCAAACATGCAGCATTGCATCACTTTCACCAAATTGCACAAATAATAAAAATCCAAATAGATCAAACCAATTTTAATTTAGCAAATCAACAAACCCTAGCTAATCAAATTCCAACAAACCAACCCTAAATCAGTCATGAAGCTCGTGATCTGCTAAGTGTTTACTGATTGATAGTATCCAAACATGCAAATTGCATCATTCACCCAGATAATAAAATCATTCACCAAATTGCACAAATAATAGCAACCCAGATAGTTCAGACCAAATTTAATTTAGCAAATCAGAAAACCCCAGCTAATCAAATTTCAACAAACAAAACCTAAATCAGTCATGAAGCTCGTGATCTGCTTAGTATTTGCTGATTGAGTTTCCAAAAACGCAGCATTGCATCATTTCATCAAATTGCACAAATAATAGCTACCCAAATAGATTAATTCAAATTTAGTTTGTCAAATCAACAAACCCTAGGTAATCAGCTTTCAACAAACAAACCCAATTCACACAACCATACCGGAGTGCGTCGAACGCCTAATCGAAGTTTAGCAAATCCAAAAACGGGTCCGAATTGGCGCTTCATCATCTCGGCCTGAATCTCCTTCGTGTCCATCTTTGAGAAATCGGTTGGCGGCGGATCGAACTTCGTGTCGGACGGAGTGGATTTCTTGCCCCATTCCTTCCACGCCTCGTCCTCCTCGTCGTCAACGACGTCGTCGAGCTCGTCGGTGATGTGGATTCGTCGCTTTCCGGCTTCGGCTAACCGGAGGGTTTTGCCGTGGTGAGCGAGGATTATGGTGAGGAGGAGAAGAAGAGAGAACAGAGAGCTCTGCTTTATCATGGTTGTGTGTGAAGATTGTGCGTGGAGAGACCCTCATTGATGACTGGGTGTGCGTGTATTATATTTTGTAGTGTCGATGCCTTTGCTAAATAATGACGTCATCATACGCTAACAAATCAAATTTTATGACATCTACACAAACATATACGGATATTATTTTATTTTATTATTTTTTGTTTCTATTTATTTATTTATGTATGTGTTTGATGTAAAAAAAAAAAAAAAAAAAAAAAAAAAAAAATTGATTAAGTCTATCTAATTATTTAAGTTTTTGGGTCATTTTCCCACGAATCATACCGGTTATAATTAGTATTAGAGTTGAACCCAGTTCTTGATTCAGTGTTATACCAATCGCCCAAGGCGGAGACGTTCGGGTGTGCACTCCCAAGTGGGCAAAGCGGCCCGACCGCAACGAGGATGTTCCGAGTTTAGGTACAATCACATTGCATCAATATTTTAAAATATTGATGTATTATCGACTAATCAAATACTAACACATAGTGATACGATTCTCTAAAGTAACTATTGATATAGAAATATTTGTTCACCTCTTAAGCCCCTATAAATATTCAGATACTTGGGGTCTGTTTAATTTTTCATTATTACCAGAAAATTGAATCAAGGCCTAGAAAATTCCCGAGAGGTAGGTTTAAGGGAATTCGAAATTTCGACCTTTAGATGTGAGAGTCTCACTCTATTATTTGGATCATTACTCTATTTGGATTTCACATTACATTATTATAAATCTCTGTTATTTATCTTGTTTCTCTGTAATCTATAAGCAAAATTTCGGTAGATAAAAAATAATAATAATACAATATTAACGTAAAATAAAGCTCTGTTTCTACTATCTTAGGTAACCATCTAGAAATTTATGATTATATATAAAATCCATCATCGAAATTGAACATAGTAGACCCTGAGTGCCTCATGAACATGTCTAAAGTTGAAGACGGTGTCACATTGGGCTAGGCTCATGGATAGGTTAAGTGAATTGGTTTTGGCTGGCCTTACTGCTCGTCAGTTATCAAATCAACCTTTTTAGGTTGGAATTTAAATGGTCACAACTTGCCTTACTGGGCTGAAGTTTTAGGTTTCGGGCCTTTTGGCTAATTTTAAGATAAAATCATGGCTCATTTAAGCCCTTCATATGAGTATAATTCTGGGTAAATAATATGCTATCACCTCTTTAATAAGGGACGATCCAAAATTTCACAAAACCAGGTTAATTAATGAGACCCGAAAGTTGACCTGATAACGAATCCAGAATGCGGAAGCAAAAACAAAGAAAACAAGGTTCCTAGGGATGCACGGCATCCCAAGAACGCTAGAGTGACTTTCCATGAAGTCACGGAATTTAAAAGAAATAAAATGCGGAAGCGATATTTTTAAAAACGAAAATTTTAGCCCTAGGAGCAAAATCATGCGAGTAAGTGCATGAATGGAAATACTCCAATCTCATCAAGCCATAAGCAAGCTCTAAGATGTTGTACATCCTTAAAGCAAGGTTCTTTACCTGAAAATTGTCTCAACAACAAGGGTGAGTAAACAAGTTTGCTCGTAAGAAATGAACATGCGTATAATCTAAAGTTTTGCAAGTCTTTATAAGTTGATATAAATCAATCCAAGTGGTTCATATCACCTAACGTCTATGTCCAAGGTGAGACTAAGGGATCATCCTAAGCTACATTAGAACATCCATATCATAAATCACAATATATAAGCAACTAAACAACGTTGAATATCAAATACCAAATAACAAAACATAAATTCACAAAGTTAACAACTTGGAATTTAAAATGCGAAATCAAACAAGTGGAATCTTGGACGTCACGCCGGAATAAAACCGACACCAAGCATCATTTGGGTTACTAACCCGTGGGTGCTTGTCCCTAAGTGCGCACTAAAATAAAGGGCTCTCAAATCTCCCGTACTAGAGTCGAGCCCTAGCCATAGTCAAACTTACGACATCCCCAAGCTTCCATAATCAGCAAATAATGCACAACAAATATATACACATATACTAAATGCACTTAATCAAATATCGTTCACAATCAAATTGTGAAAACAAACAAGACATGCCCTAAATCCTCAATTACCACGGCATGTAACATAATAGGCCTTGAAAACATTAAATGTGCAAATAAATCATACTTTCATTAAATGGAAGCTAATAAAATAAAATTTAATTACTTCCTTTAGGTTGCAAAACATCACCAAATGACATGAAATTAACACATAATAAGCAACATATCATGAAAAACTCAAATATCAAATCAAAAGTCTAATTAAGTCACTAAAACACTAAATTAATTTTTTAATTAACTTAATTAATTAAAAATCTCTAGATTTCAAAAGTCATCAAAAAATTTCAAAAATAATATATGATGAACTACAAGTCATGGGTTCTCCAAATATTATATTATTAATTAAATTTAAACATATTTCAACTATGAAATTAAATCATCATTTAATTAAAACAAAATTCATTTCTATATCTAAACTTAAAATATGCATATAAGTTATATAAACCTCAAAAACATGTAAAACACTAAGATTATAAACATGAAACACCCCCTACCTCACTTGAGATGAAAATCTCAAATCCCACCAAAATCAAACTCCACAAAATGCGACAAAACTTCAAGGTTTTGGCAGGGACAACAAGGAGAACAAGAAACCTTTAAGAACAAAACCCAAATCCAAGCTTGAACTCTCAGCCTAAAAATTAAAATGCTGCAAATCGGAAACCGATCGGATAGAAATGACCGCGTTGTCGAGGAGATAAAAAAAGTATAAACCACGAAGATGAAATTCAAAGAGGAAATAGATGAAGAGAGGAGAGAGAAGGGGCAGCCTCCAAGCTCTATAAATGGTGGCTGCTGCTGCTACTTTAGAAAATAAAAAGTTAGAGATATTTTCTCTCTCATCCACTAACCCTAAATAGATTAAAAAAGTGTCCCGAATAATCCGAACGGGCCCCGTCCGAGTTCAAAAAGTGAAATCGATGAAGACGCGCTCAAATACTGATGTTTCGTGAATAAAAAAGTTTTGGAATGGAATTCTAAGGTCAACAGAAGAAATGGGGTCGAAAACCGAGTCCCGAGCGAGAAGATATGCCCTGGACAAGATTGATGACTAACGGGGTTCGAAAATTCAAAATAAATGAAATAAAAATCCAAAAAATATTCTGGAAGTGCCAGAGTCCATTAAAAGTGAAAATAAATCCCTCATGAAAGATTGAACCCAAAACGAGAAACTTTTCTGAAACTTTTCTATAATTACACAAATGCCCCTCTACTAAATAACTCAAAAAATAAATTTCTTAGAAAGCCCAAAATGAAGTACCATTCAAAAGATACATTCAAAAGAACCTTAAATACAAAATTGTATTAAAAGATAATTACACAAAACACCCTAAGTAAAGAAAATAATTTTCAAGAATCTTTGCATTTATATCCCTACGGGCTAAAGTAAATATCTAGCATGCTTTTCTACAAAAGTAAAAATGTAAATCACATAGAAATCAAGTAAAATGAACGCATGTAAGGTCGGAATTAAATCCGAGCACGACCCGATATGTTACGCGAAATGAAAAGATAGTGAAAAAGTAACGGAAAAAGAAAACTCGGAAAAAGAAATCAACGAAAAAAAATTATCCGTAAAATTTAAGAAAATGAAAAGAAGGGAAATAACCGGGTCACTACATGTAATTTCAAAAGTGTGCAAATAACACCCTTTGTATTCAAATTACACTCGTGTAGCGTGTAAAATAAGCAAACAAGGACTTCTGACACAAAAAAAAGGTGGCATGTGCAGGACATGTGACAAAAAAGGCTTCTTTAATACCCTTTTTGTATTCCCAAACTGCCCCTCCCTCATTTATTCCTCATTTGTGATTTTTATATATAATACTCTTATTTCTATTTTTTTTTTCTCTCTATAAAAGCTCTCTCTCTTGTCTCTTTTTCTCTCTATATTATTTCTTTCTTTATTTTTGTTATATATTTATTCTCTCTATAAGGACTCTTTCTCTCTACTAGGGGTGGCAATTGGATAGGTTTGGATGGGTATTGAATGAGTTGGGTATGAATGGGCTAATAACCCATTACTAACCAATGGTTGGTCATAAATGAGTCAGGGTTCAAATGGGTGGGTCATAAGCTGGTCAACTCGCTTTAACTCGTTGATTTTTTTTTTCCTGCACAAATGGGATTGTTTGTCTATGAAGAGATGACAAACGTGTGATATTGAAAAAGCAAATTCAAAATGATAAATAAAATTTCAATTTTTTTTTCTCAAAATGACAAACTGAAATAAAGTCCTTGTACTTTAAAAAAACAACTAAAAAATTCAGATAGGAGGCAGAAAATGACATATAATATGAACTATTGTGAAACTACTGCCTAATATGAACCAAATCCCCAAATGCAAACTGGTGGTGAATTTAAAAATATATATATATTCTCTCTAAATATATACATATACACACACAAATTACGATCTTGGTGGGTTTCAACGGTGACATACACTACCACCGCCATAACTCTAATCCCTTATTTGCACTACCTACAATCAATATAATATATATATGTGTTAAAGATATTGAGATTGAGAAACACCAAGAGAGGAGAGAGAAATTAGTTTTTTTCTTTTTTTTTTTAAACATCCTAACAAAAATAATAATTTATTTTTTTATAAATGTTGGCTACCAGCGAGTCAATAATGATGATACATGTTTTGGATGGCAAGGTGACAAACTTTCTCAGTTTGATAGGCCCATGTTCATCACGTAACATGAGTAATTACTTTGTGCAAATGAGAACAAACTTTAAACTCGTAATCTTGCGTGCGGTGCGTGTGCGCATGCCATAATACTATATAAGTTAGTTATTGAATTAGTATTTGAATCTTGTGGGTGGTGAATGTGCGGTTTCTGTAGTCAATAAGCTTGTTATGACGACTTTGCCAGAAAGTTTGGCTACTAGTGTTATATTAATTAATCTCATAATTAACAAACTATGGAAAACGCACATTCACTGCCTACAAG